TATATTTTTAATATAATAATACTTTTTATAACTACTATAGCTTGACTATATAAGTATATAATTTGGAATCGTACAATATTGACTCCAACTTTCACTATCTATATCTATTCCTCTCTTAACATTTTTCCGTGGTATTTGCACGCGTCATGGCCTCTTTGACATCAACTTGAAGGCACCAAGATATCACATCTGATCGCATAGTAACGCTTTCACTACTCATGGGTCATTGCTGCGCGTATACTGGCTTAGATTCGTGAGCAAAAATTTTCACCGCCTGTTCTCACTGAGGTGTGCTGGCGAAATAAGCCCATCGCAAGTTGTGGCTGAAGAAGGCATGGGAAACAAGAACGATCTGTTCAAGTATACTTCAGGGAGATGGATGTATGTTTAGGTGTATTACCGGAGACTCCTGTTCGAAATTGTATATATTGATCTAGACCATGCAGATATAATGAACCTCGTCGCCTTGCCGAACGCCACCTAGTATTCAATGTTGATGAATTGAAGAAAGCTGCCGCAACTGCTGTCGGTAGGCCAGTTTCAGAGATACGAAGCATCCGAAAACTGGCAGAAGGGGGTTTCAACCGTGTCTTTGACATCTCAATGAAAGATGGCTCATCTCTACTTGCCCGACTTCCATATCCGTCGACGATGCCCCGACGCCTTGCAGTAGCTAGCGAGGTCGCAACATTAGCTTTTGTTCGTGCTTGTGGCATTCCTGCCCCTCGTGTCCTGGGGTATTCGGCGCATGATAACCCTGTCGGCGTCGAGTACATCTTGATGGAAAAGCTCCCCGGAAGACCTATCGGCGATGCCTGGTTTAGCCTGCCCGAAAAAGATAGGCTCAAAGTCCTACACGAAATTGTAACACTGGAAGCCAAGCTCTTTGCCAACAGCCTACCTGCTAGTGGGAGTATATACTTCGCCCACGACCTGCCTCCTGGCGCTCCTCATGTACCTTTATCGGACTCGGAAGGGCTATGTATTGGTCCCTACGCAAATCTTAGATGGTGGTTTAATGAGCGCGCAAGTCTTGACATAGACCGCGGCCCCCGTGAGTAGGAAGCCCATGGAAAAAAAAATTGTTTGCTGATTCTCACAATTATAGATAACGATCCGTGCCTTGTCCTTCAAGCTCCAGCTGAAAAAGAATTGGCCTGGATTCGGACATATGGAAAGCCTCGTTTTCCCTTTCAACGTGCCTACAGAGAAACATTAGGTTACAAAAAACAAGACCCGGAGGAACATTCCAATTCACTATTGGAATATCTCCAGCTTGCACCGTACCTTGCTCCTACATGCCCGAAGCTCAACCTTCCTATTCTCCGCCATCCCGATCTTCAGCCCAGCAACATCTTCATCTCTGAAGATTTTAAGATCACGGGTCTTATCGACTGGCAGCACTCTTTGGTTCTTCCCATGTTTCTTGCTGCTGGTATACCGCGATCATTTCAGAATTATGGTGATGAACAGTCCATGTACTTCATTCCACCGCAACTCCCCGAAGATCTTGGTACCATGGATGCAGATGAGCATGCTATAGCATGCGAGCAGTTCCGCCGCCGTCATGTGCACTTTTTTTATCTGGGGTTCACGCAGAAACTGAATGAGCCTCATTCAGAGGCCCTTGAACAGGAATTTGGTCTCCTAAGACGCCGGATATTTGACAATGCAGGCAGTCCGTGGGAAGGCCTCAACACCCCATTGCAAGTGGATATCGCACAGGTATCGCAGAATTGGTCAAAGATTGCTGCTGTCCGTTCAGATAGAAGCCTTCCTGCATGTCCTGTTGTAATTAGCGAGCAGGATGCGCAGAAGAGGGCAGCACTGGATGATTCACTGCGGGATGTGGACACTGAACTGGAACAGATCAATGGGTTCCTTGGTGTTGGGTCTGATGGATGGACATCAAATGAATTGTTTAAACAAGCGAAAGAGAGAGCACGATCGATCAAGGTGGAGGGGCTTGCTGCAGTCAATGATGACCCATGGCTGAGGCAGATGACTGAGCAGCATTGGCCCTTTGATGATTACAACGAAGACGAGTAAACGATTCAAGTAGATCGAACGGTTAATATAAATCAAAGTGAGGGTATTTCCATTGCTGAAAAGGTATCTTATAGTTTTTTCTTCTATTGTGTACTGTTTGTTTACAGGCGCCAGGGACCCGCAAAATACTAATAAAAGCCGCAGCCTTTAAAAGCGCTCTATGGGTAAAAGCCAACGGAGAAGAAACGAGGGATATATATGGGAACTAGACAAAGCAAGTACGCAGAAAATCTTAGAATCAGTTGGTTTGGGGTTGGGGTAGTATTTAGATCTCCAGACTATAGTCTGCAACAAAATAGTCGTGTGAATTAATTCCTAGTTTTATAGAGAATTCTAGATAGTAAACTATATAATATATTTTTATAAAATTAACTATAGTTTAAAAGTATATAAATTAATAATAATTTACTATAAGCTAATTATTAATTAAATTTGTATTTAATTATATATATATATTCAAAATTATTTCTGCTTTTCAAGTGTAATCTGTAACGCCGGGATTTCAACATCCAGAGCTTTCCCATCGGTGTCCACCTCGAATATAAGCTGATCAAGCGACGCTCCTCCGTACTTCAAACTATCAACGCTCAGCCAAGTCACACAGGTAGGAGTCCCATAATCAGCGAACTCATTCTTGTCCTGGAAGACTGCTCTGAAGGCTTGTCTCGATATAGGGGTTCGCTTGGAGATAAGATGTGCTGGATAAAGCCGTATGCTCAATGCATCAACCTCCTCAACACCATTTAAGGCGGCCAATGTCGCCCGGAAATCAGTGCCGTTGCTGATCCATGTATCAATAACTAGACCTGGCGAGCTATCCGCAGAAACAGTGATGGACGAGTTTGCTTTATGTGAAGAGTAGAGTCCTCCAAAATTTGTGCTGGCTTGGATGGCCGCAATCTTGGTCAAGGCTGGCAACAAGTTGTCGCCGATAACACCAGTATGGGGATTGAGATCTGGGCTCGTGTTACTATCTGTAGCTAGGATAGTAAATCCAACGTTGAAGTCGGGAACAAGGCCAATATATGAGCTATACAAGCCAACGGTGCTAAGAGTCGTATACACGTCTATTATCGGTGTGTCGGGATAGTCTCCCGCACTATATATAACCCATGGATACCCTACTGAGTTTGCAGGGTTTGAAGTGTGGGCAACGGGTTTCAGCCAGCGGTTGGTTTGGGCGCGCGAGAGGAGGGCTGCCGCCAGAATAGATTTTCCAGCAACGGCGAGATCGGTAACAGTGGAGAGCATTGAAATTGCACTGCAGATAGAGATTTATTAAGGCATTAATAGCTAGTCATCCTCTGCATGGGGTATGGGGTGGGGGGGGGGGGGGGTGGACTTACGCTGCCTCTGCTCCACCTTGCATCCATCCATGACTATTCGTATCCGCTGGGAGCACCCTTGGCGACGGGTCTTCAGATAAGAGTAAACTTGTCTTTCCTAGTTTGAGAGGCTCAAGAATGCGTTGATTAAGTACAGACGCAAACGGCTTTCCAGCAATGGACTCCACGATATATCCTAAAATTCGAAATGCGTCGTTGGAATAGATAGGTGTAGTTCCTGAGAGGACAACGGGAGGTTGTTGAACAATATACTCGAAGAATTCTGTTCGGGTGAATATATTAAATAAAGACCACTCAGCTCAAGACGTGGAGTGGTTAACTCACCAGTTCTGTTGCATGAGGATTTCGAAATACAGGGAGGAGTATCAGGGGCCGGAAAAGGTGGTAGATCGGCGAAAGGGAATGCAGATTGTTTGCTCAAATCGGGCATCGAAGCTACAAAATTAGTCGTGATAATTCAAATAGTTGCTTCGCTGGGCTAAAACGTACAACCCCTGGAAATTCCGGCCATATGACTTGCGAGCTGACCAACCGTAATAGTCTCCCAGTCAACGTAGCTCACTGGATCTTGTTTTCCATTGCGGTAGCTCACAGCATCAGCTAGTTCAGGGATGTACTCTGTTACAGGGGTATTCCAGATGCGGTCTCCTGCTTCGATCAGAATAGTCCAAACGGTGAAAATCTCAGTCAAACCGCCGATGCGATAGATAGTATCTTTCCCCACAGGGTGAGATTTCAAGGGTGGCGCCGTGTAGTGGTAATCAAAGAAATAGGGCTGGTCGCTTGCGTTGCCTTCGTTAACGGAGAACAATGATAAACTGAAAGAAGTAGTGTTAGGAAAGATCTCCCCATGATCCCCGTTCCCTTCGAGAACTAGTTTATCGAACGCCTTCGTAAGGTTCTTGAGAGCGGAGGTTAGTACTTCAGAGCCCGTATCCAATCTGAACTCAGGGAATGCTGGCCCTAGAAGCGGGCATGGTGTGAACGAGAGGCCGGAGGAACTGCAGATTAAAATGCAAAGAAATAGGGTAAAAGTGCAAATCATCATGGTGGGTATTGGGTATTTAGACTGGCAATTATCATTGATTTGGGCTGTTAAATTTCTTACCTATTCGCTCAATATATACACACAAGGTCGGGTCGGAGATATAGAGCTCACTAAAACGATGTATATAACTAAGTTTAAAGTTAGCACTGGCACGCTAGGCTTCGGCTCGGCGTTAACTAAGTTAGTTAACAGCTGCGCTTCAGCCTCAAAATGACCGGGAAAAGCAAAGGCGACCCGATCCATACAAAAAGTATATAAAACGAGGTTTTCATACCTCAAGAGACGGACGGGTTTGTTCTCCTCCACCCTAAAGTTCGTCCTTAGACTCTGTGCTCTAGTTATCGAATAGAAAATTCTCGAGGATGGGGTAAGGATAGAGAATATCACACCCAATTATACAACATTTGATCTATAGTGTAAGCGAAATCATCCTCCTCTATCGAAGGATAGCCATTCGCCATAGTAGCAAATAGGTCAGAAGGCGAAAAATCGTGCATAACTCCCGAGGCATCAGCTGCTAACGGTTGATTTTCTAAACTGGGGGTGCCCTCTATTGTTCGCAGTTCTCCCGAGGCAGTATTGTTAATAATATCAGAGGAGCCTGTTTTCTCGAGTCTTGTATCCAGCCAAACTTGAAGTCGAGCAACACGATCGACATAATTTGTGAAAACGTCCTTATCTCCATTCAAATCGACCGTATCCGTGGATAGTTCCGATACCCGCATTTTTAACTTTGTCAGTGTATTTGAGAGAGATTCCGTGTGTCGGCGGAAAACTGCCGGTTCAGCTGCATGGGCGGTGCTTGCTAGCCTACAGGCGACAATCAAAGCAAATCCAATCTGAACCCATTCAGTGTTATTGAAGCCGGTTTCTGAGCGAGGCGGCAGCGATAGATAAAGTTCAAGTATAGATCGTGCCGCCATGCCACCTGCGTATAACATATCATCCGATAGCGTAGTCTGTATAGATCCAGATTGCTGTCTACGTTTGTCCAGCAGGCTCAACTGGTAGAGAGAAAGCTCAGCGGTGTGGAACTGCATAATAGTAAGTGCTATAGAGAAGATGGGAAAGATTAGCCCGGGGAATGGCATGTCCTCGTGGTAGGGATTACCTACTTGTCTCGTCTGCTGAAGTAAACCCTGACCGGACAAGGAATGCCTCTAACTCAGATTTCAAGCTTGAGACATATAGCTCCATCGCCGACCCAGAGTTCTTCAGCTCCATCCCGTGCTGAAAGGTTATACGATTGATTTTTTCCACAATATGCTGGAGCTGAACGATGTAGAGGATGGATTTGTCATACGGGTACTCAGCCGCATCGTAAACAGATTTGCAGCATTCTTCGAGGTAAGCGGTATATGGAAAGGTGAGCTGTTTTTGCAAAAGTCCGGAGATTCTATGACCAGGTGAGCTCGATTTCTCCTTTCATTCCGTCCTGGGCTTCGGGTAAAGTGGGCCGAACTTACGTCGAGGATAGATAGTAGCAACCTGCGACAGCCCTCTGTTCATCACGGCCGAATGACGGTCTAGTAAAAGTATCATGTTCATCACGGCCGAATGACGGTCTAGTAAAAGTATCATCGTCCGGGTCGTAATTTGATATGAATCGGATCCCTGATTTCCATACTTTCGTCTGCGGCGGTCTATCCAACCGCATCTCGATAATGAGGCTAATAGCTAACTGGAGAAATTGGGTATAACGATACGGCCGCGTGTGATAATGGCACCTAGCAGGACTGTCGGCAATTTTTTTTCACTTGAATTTGCACATTTTTCGAGTGGCAGTAGTTACCAAGCTAGATAAACCAGCAATCCTTGCAGCAGATCGAAGGAAACTTCTCCGTTGACGATCATCCGCGAGGCAATAGCTGACCTGACTTCCTCTCCCAATTTCCGTTGTAGTGGCATGTTTGAGTAAGATGCCGCCGAGATGATAGAGAGGAAGAGGAACGGCCTGTCCCGGCGAAGTTGCTCTGCCATTGTGGGCTGGGGAACCACAACGAATGGGAAATGCTCGATCATTCTCACTTTAAACGTGGAGAGGAAGCATTCAGCATCTTCTATGGTTAGAAACCCGCGATCAACCACATCTTTGCTGATAATATCATCATCATCATCAGCTGAGAGACCAGCCGCGGCAGTATTGGCGGGTGGTACCAGTAGCGCATGACGAGCGCCCATGAGCTCATTCACCTTTGACTCGAGAGCATTGATTCTCCTTATCAAATAGGTAACTGTTAGCTCTGGTTACTCCCCGAAAGTAATAGAAGAAGCTTGTACTAACAGATCTTTCTGAAACCCATTGAAGCGTCGACGTGTCTCGCGGTTTACGCACTCTTTACCCAGGCGGGAGCATCTTATGAGGCTGGATAAGCGATGAAATACATCCGTATTTTCCGCACTGCTTCAGACTCACCGATTACATGGCCTATTGTCGGAATCCCGCACACAGCGTACCTTGGAATTGGCGCAGTTTTGGCAAGTCTTAGATAGCGGCATCTTCAAGAATGAACAGACTCAAAGCCGCGGAAGCATACCAAAAAGGCCATATATTCGTATATATATAAACGTGAGAGTCAAGAGAGAGGAATATATCAAAATTTAGTCTCAAGTATTGTATAATACATATATACATGAAATAGGTAAATAAATAAAGAATTAAATAAGAAAAGATAAATATATACAACAGGGGTGGGCGCGCTAAGGCACGAGATTATAACTAATTAATAAATTAGAATTTTATAGAAATTATAAATTTTAATAAATTAAATAATTTAATAATTTAAATTTAAATTTATTATATTTTAATATTTATACTATATAAAAGAAATAATAATAATATTTTTTTAATTTAATAAGTATTTTTTATAATTATTATCTATTATTGAAAGAGTTTATAATATATTAATATACCAATATAATAAGTATAGATATAACTATAATAAATATTATCTTTCTTCTATTTTCTAGATTCTGTCTCTCTATAATTTATCTTAATTCTTAAGATAAAATAAAGTTCTTTATAAACTTAAAAAATATTAAAATATTGATTATTTTAGTTATAGAAAGAAAAGAGCAAATAAACCTATATAATTGCTAGCTTCTCCTCTATCTAGTTTAGCTACAATGAATAGTAATATAGGCGTGCTTAGGTATACGTACTGACACAATATGTTACTTGGTCTTCTATTTAGGGTCGGAGCTATAGCCTATAGATGACTCGGGGATAATAGGAGTCTCTATGTCACCCGCGTTGATAGCGGACAAACCTCTAATTTCCTATTAGTTAAATGAAGTTGGGTTACCGAAAAATTGAACTAACCTTGATGTGAAGCCTTGCCTAACCTCCTGCTTGGCTTCTGCGAGGGAGTCAAACCCCGTTAGGTCGAGAAGTTCAATCCCAGGGCCAGTGGCCAAGGCGAGGCCAAAATGGGTTCTAAGGTATCTCTGGCTGCTGTGGGCGGTCCTGTCTAGCCGTGGAGGCGGATGGAGCCTGAGTTGAAGGGGGAGCAGCCGCCGCTTTAGGGCGAGAGGACAAATGGCATTGAGGGTGTGTAGACTGCCATATTGACGTCAAGGTTGATCGCGAGAGCCATGACTGCGGAATTTGGAGGAGTAAATGGGTGGCATCCTTGGCACCAAGGTATCTAGATCTTCTATGCTAGTCAGTTGTTATTCTCTTAGAAGGTAGATATAGATATAAAGAAGTCTAAGTATTTACCTGCTGTACCGTCCGGGGGTGGAGTTGGCGAGAGAATGCATTCCTTGCTCCCTTCTCCGCCTATATCGATTCTGGACGTAACGGTATCCATATAGATATCTTCATTGTAGTGATCTACCCATCGCGAATCGGCGCTTCCGGCAGGAACGGCACCACGTCCTGACTCGCCGCCGCTGTGGCCATGCTTCAATTGATGGGAATTCTCCCTGTAGCTCCTCGACCCGTCCCGTAGGCTTGACAGTATTGATGGACATATAAGCGAAAGCGGTTGACGGAGCATAGGTAGACAGGAAACTATAATGCCGGTATTGAGTTCGATGGCAGTCCATAGTGCGAGCGGTGCTATGCTCCCTATAATGCTCAGCTATTAGCAAAATTTGGCCAGCGAGGGGGAGGGGGTGTATGGTGTAGCTGACACAAGGGGTCCCTATTGTCAGATTTCCCTATTATATATGTTATTCGAACAATGCTAACGACACAGACACTATATCCTCGACATTAGTAAAAAATGATTGACCCCACGAGGATAACACAGGGCTGGCAACTTACAATCCTCCAAGGGAAAAGATGGATATCACAGCAAGCTTATCCCTCGTTCTCATTGGGAGATCGATAGTCTGCTTTATCGGGAGGAAGTAGATCAAGAAGTCGGTAGCGACATTGAGACCCGAGTAGACGACTCTCCATTGCGCATTCTCAATACACTTGTGTGGAATGGAGCGGTCCCAATATGCGTTGATCGGCTTGCATTGCCATATGGATGGACAAGTGAATCCGATTGTCATTAACACCGTCAGTCCCATAAGGAAATAGCATGACCAACGGAACCAGTTCTGGACATAAAATATTCGAAGAAATAAGAGGAGGAAGGCGATCTTGATCAGGCCGAGGGCAGGCTTGTATAGAACCTGTAGGATGTACAGACACTGCGATCCAGGACGACAACGTTAGCATTGTTTTTTTCCTGCATGGGTTCATTCGCAATACAGGGCGAGTAGTGAGTGATATAATTACTTTCAACGCGATTATCCTGTCTTGCGGCGAGCAGTCCCGTGTGTGTGCGCCTAGTCCGTGGAAGACTCCTGTACACATTTATGAGCATCCATGTATGTATGCCATGTGGATAGTCCGGATGCGCTAACTACCCACCGAGTACCATCACAGCAGTAAACGGAGCTGTGATTACCTGATGTTCAAGAAAGATTGTCAGCACTTTCATATCACTGTTTCACGACCTTCAGGCTGGTACATACGTATGCAGACAGTATCATATAGTCGTCGACGTGGATGCCGGCCCTGTAGTATCGACCGACCAGCCGCACAACCACCAAGAGCCCCGATATCACGACCAGGACGACACAGGGAACCCATAGATCCGCCCTGTCCATTCCAAGAACCACAGCGCCGGCAGCTGTGGCCGTATCGTTCGAGGGAGTCATCCTCTTGCACTATCAAGCAGCAGGACTCCGTACGGAGTAGACTCTTTCCTTCATCTCGGAGGAGGAATGGACGGGAAGAGGTCGAAAAGGTCAGATAATGATACATCCCATCAAGGGCATCATTATTATTATTATGACCAGAGATGCTCCGTCGCTTTCGTGCATTGGGATCTCGCCCTTTCACCTCCTCCCTCCCTCCCCTATTGCTCAGGCCCGTCGCCCTGCCGTGTCCCGTGTCTTCGCCAGCAAAAGAAAACGATTTGCATTGGATTTGGGTGGGGCGAACACAGTGACAGCAGGTTAATCCAGGTAGAATCGCTCATGGAACGTCTTGATGGGCTCGGTCCGTCTCATTCGAGCCATCGCGCTCGTGTAACTATTCGTGATCCCGCGTCGTCCGAGGCGTCCGAGTTGCGTGTTTTCAAGGTTAGTCAACTAACTAGTTAGTTAGTGAGTTATCGATCTCAGGTTTCGTTTCTTTTTGCCATCGAGACTGTCCTCCCCAAATACGGAGTACGGAGTACACAAATGATAATATATACGAGAAACGAACCGTCGGACTTGGAGACGGCTTAAATAATAATAGCTTGTCTATCGCCTTCGACTTCGCGCCAGCCCCAGCTCTACAGGTCATCTTACTACTCGTTACCCAAGCTGAGCCATCCATCCAGCTGCTTCGCGAGATGCGCCACGGCGTCCGGGGCAAAAGCCAAACCCTCGAAATTCGACTAATTGGACCATGATGAAATTCCAGGCCCTGGAACTTGGAGGCGCTGAACTGTTATGGAGACGGTACTGTCCTGTCCTCTGTGGTAGTTACTGTCGTAGCTATAGTAGACGCGATACCACGCCCGTGGGGATTGAAAGATGGCCGTGGAGTGGATGGAGCATGGCGGCTGGGCTGGAGGCGGGAGAGCCCTGGCCGCTAGCTAACTAGGTAGCATTTAGCCTCCTAGCGGTCAGGCCCACCAGGGTTCGGGGCTCGATGATTCCTGGCAGTGATCTATTATTATAGTCACCCTTTACGGAGTATCGCGGACAGGATTACGAACATCTCCCTCGATCTACCGCGTTGAAGGATTACAGAGAACATGTGCATATGGCTTAACTATTGCTCACCGACAAATTAACTAACTAATCCATAAATCAAGCGGTTAGTTAACTACTCTTTGCTCTACGAATAGGAACCTCCAAAGCTTCGAGCAGGGCCTCACGATACGAATGTACAGAGCACCAAGAGGAGTTCACGTTGGATACGCTGCTCGAGCATAGGCGACGCCAACATACCAGCTTCATCAGACGACCAAGCTCGCTCAGAGTGAGAGATAGCCACGGGCATATGTGGTATTGTTCTGAATGCGACGCAGACCTAAAGGATCAGCGAAGCTTCAGCTCCCACCGTGCAGATTTAACTAACTAGTTATTGGATTCTGTGGTCTCAAATCCCTAGTTATCGGTCGACCCGGCTGAACGCGATCAATGCCAACAGCATTTCCCTCGTGTGAGCCACGAACTAAGAGCCTCTCATAACAAAAGAGCCAAGAAGGCGAAGCCATTTCAGCAATCTTCCAGGACTTGTTGCAATATTCCCTCTTTTGACGAGTTCGATCTTATCTTTCCAAGCTCCGGAAGCTAATGATAATCTGTCTAACACGAAGACAAGATGACCAACTATTGATTCGGAGAAGGATGGGAAGTGCTAGAGGTTGAACTATCTTACGCAATTTCATTTTTTTGAGATACAACCGTGCACTGCTTTTGTATGAATCAAAAGGTGTTTCAGAGTAGAAGGCGTCACCTTACAGATGTTACAAGCGAGCTTCGTGAAATCCTTCAGGTCCTTTCGCCCAAAGTGTTTGGTTATCGGACTCTCTACTCGTTTCTCTCCTAGGTTTGTGATCGCCGTCAGGGGAAGAACAGAAGACGAAGGGAGATCAAACTGCTCGGCTCTCTGCAAACATTCTGGAAATGGTTTCAGCCCCCATATCTTTCTTCTTGGTAGTTATACTGTTTCACTTCCATGCATTTGAAGACTCCGATATCACTTCACCTGATGTCATGGACGAAATAGTTCAAGATGGAGAGAATACACGGCCGCCGATGAATAAAACCACAAGTATCTACTATCGAGAAAGCTATCCACTCAGTTCTCCGCTTCGGGTTATAATATAACACGGAAGTCGGAATATAAAAATTATTAGGTAGCCCTGCAAACACCAGACCATATACGGGCCGATGGCTATCCGAGCCATATATTCTAGTACTTCACAAAATGGTCTTCCCCTTCTCTTAGCCTCTGCTTCTTCTCTTTTATTGGAAATCTGCTAGAAACCACAATGTCTGTATCCCCAACGATCCATTACACCCCCGCGGGGTGGGTTGAATTATACTCTTATGTGGAATTGACCCTTTTCCTTCCAGAAATTCTACTGTGCTGCCCCCTGGCACCTAATGGGGCCAATATCAGGATATAACCAAAGTCAATACCCACCTGACCGTGGCAGAAAGATTGTGGGTTGCATGGTATGCGTGGCTGCAGAATGATGCCCTGGCCACCTGCATCATGTCCTTCGCTATTCACGAGTTGTTCTACTTCGGCCGTTCTCTTCCGTGGATCCTCATCGATAGCTTGGGTTTCTTCAAAAGGTAGTTATAATATTCAAAGTGTAAGTTGCAAGCCTAACACCTGGCACCAGCCAAAATCAACCAAATTCTAGCCACCATCGGAACTAACATTCTCCTTCAGAGCAAAGTACTTCATTACGCGAGTAGTGGGATTGCGCCAAGTTTGTACTTCTAAGCCACTTCACTGTCGAACTTCCTCAAATTTGGTATGTTCTTCCTGCCTTTGACTGAGTGGTATGACGTTTGCCTCTCGGGTCTGATTGAGTACCTAGGGGACTATCTCCTTGACACCGAATGCACTCCGGATGCGCTAAAGCGTCGAAGAGGGAGAAAGGTGAAGGCAAAGAAGACACGTTAGCAGTGACAGTCCGCCTATTTTTTCAATTTGGGCGTTGGCTCTAGTATACGATTCGTGATTCTAGTGAGAACTGCCTCTTTGAATTTTTCTAAGAGAATGTCCATAGCTCGTTTATAAGAGAACAGAATTGGCCCTCAGTTACTCCTTGCTTCATTTTGGAGGAGCATAATCCATATCCCCAGAATGGCCAAATCCCAAACTAGATATCTGTCTTCAGACTCCGATCTATGTCCTTGGTGCTATTGCAAAAATATTCTGCTTTACCACTTGTACTGAGATTGCCACAATCAAGCGTCAAAGACAATAAAGTCAGCTATTCAATCTGTCTGGATGACAACTTCGGACGTTGAAGGCTTGCTCGCCATAGCTGTTACCCCGATCTCGAATAATCCGCATCTTGTCATTCTATACTCGTCCCTGGCTAGTGTTATGGGCACTCCCACCATTCTATTCCGGGCGCTTTTCAGAGCAAATGATAAGCAAAAGGCCGTACTCTTGTAATTGGCCAGACAGCCAACTTGCAGGTAATATACAATTGTCAGGGACGAGTGAAAACTGCTTATAGAAGAAGCACAACTTTTTACATTCAATGATTTAACTTTCATATTTATCCAAGGTTTCCGGTTAACTAGTTAATCCAACGGTGGGGGAAGACCCGAGAGTTAACTGAATAGTTAAGTAGCGCTAACTACTGACCCTAATACAAATGTCTAGTGACGTCACTGTATTTCAAGAAGTCAGCATAGTTCATGAGGCGCTTCTTATTCCGCCTCAGCCTAAATACTCGCTGCTCACATCACTCTTGGTTACAATCTCCTTAACCCTATCAAGTGGCAGTGCCTCGACTTTTCGCCCTAGGTAGCCAGTCATAGTCTCTGCCATGCAAAGTGCATTGTATATTGCCTCCTCAGTCACATCTGCAGTCGCATCAAAGAGATTATCGATCGTTTTGTCGTCAATAACTTCGATGGCCAGTGGTGTCGGGCCCTTGCGTGGTCCGAGAACATCCATGTTCGGGATCGAATTCCCAGTCGAGAAAGCAAGGAAGATATCTCCAGAGGTATTATGGCCATTACCCCCAACTCGGGCCAGGCCAACTGTTGCACGTTTCGCAATGCGCTGCAGTTGTAATGGGTGCAAGGGTGCATCGGTGGCAAGCACCACAATGATACTCCCGTCCTTGCGGTCCTTCTCTCTCGCAAGGTCTTCGAGTGCAGCCTTTCTGGCTTCATCCTTCGCAGCGTCCGCAGCGAGTATCCGACCAATGGGTACTCCACCAATACGCAAGTCCTTCATCTTACCGTAGTTCGTCTGCACGAGGGCTCCGATAGTGTATCCCTTGACACCCGGCTTCCCGTCTCCGCGAGGGACGACTCGACTGCTGCTCCCAGTCCCGGCCTTGAATCTATGGCATATCATACCAGTCCCGCCTCCTGTATTTCCTTCCTTGACTCTCTCTGCGCTTGCATTCTCCAGTCCGGCAACAACGTGTTCTGGCTTTACTGCAAACGAAATGCACTTATGCAAATACCCCTCGCACGTCTCGGCAACAATCGGGAGCGTCAGCCAGTCCACTTTCCCGTCCTCAGAACCCAGAGTTTTGATAGCATAATGGAAGATGCCCTGATAGGCTGAACCTATCTCGAGTGTCCCAGTCAAGACGATAGGCGAAATTAGCAGCCCAGTCTCATTGACCACATGGGCGCCTGTGAGCTCTCCAGCGCCGTTAAAACTGAACGTGCCAGCGTAACAGAATTCCTCAGACCAGTTGTCGCGAGGCAGGATGCATGTCACTCCGGTATTGATGGCTCCATCGTCGCCATAGACCTCTTGGGTGTTGACTTTGACACCTGGTACGTCTGTGAGAGAGTTGAGCGGGCCGGTAGAGAAGTCACCGAGATGAAGAGTTGGTAGAAGTTCTCGGATACGCATCCGCGGTGCCTGGGATGATTGTTCGGCCATTGTGATAAAATCCTGCTACAACGTACTTGTGTTGTGCAGATGTTATAGAATACTGGGGAGACGTTGTGGGCTCTTAAATACCTAGGTATTAATATGGTTGCCTTGAGGCTGAGTCCTGCCGAGAGAATAGGCATCCAAGTTTCAACGTTTAGTCAGGATCTTGAGTGCGGGGAAATAAGATACCCATTATTCGTACTAGAACTGCCTAATAGATATCTGCATCCTTGAAATAATTTCTTGGGAGCGACTGCAATCTTGTTTTCAGCGTTCTGGAGATCTAGTAACAGAAACCACCTCGATATCCGATCATGCATCGGCTGTCAGATCCATACGGGAATAGCTTTTCTCAGGAAACGAAGAGGTACGGAGTATTCTAAAAGACTTATATTACTCTAAAATTAAAGATTCTGTCAATAAATTAGATATCATTGGAAATCCTTTAAATTACATAGTAGAGGTATTAACTTACTAAATAAGCTGATTTCAATAAATATTATATTGCGGATTTAGTAGGGGACTTAGTTATAGAGAGCTATAGATAGTATATGGTTGGGGTGGACCCGCATAGCCTGGCTTTAAGATCTGCAAATTTAGCGTTTAGTAGGGCCCGCTCTCGAACCTTACCCGAGCCTCACTGACTTGTTTGACTTTCGGGGGAATAAAGACAAACCATTTTCTTCCCTTAATTGTAGGAGAGGTAAACTATTAGTTTATGTCTATACATAGCTACGCGTGTACAGTTGCTTTAGTGGCTCAAAGCTTGAAAAAATGGATAGAAGGCTGTATAGTTATATATATCTATGGAACCCTGAACTCTAGTTATTAAGGTTTGACTTTTTCTATAACGAGATATAAATCCAACGGCGTCATATCCATTCTGATAAGTAAACCTCTCTTGGAGCCTCACAACTAGATGATCGATAATTTCCCGAAAGTCCCAGGATATATGGAAAGTGGGCGATATGCTAAAGGACGAGAACGAATTGATGGGAGAGCACGATATTCATGATCCGAACTCGACCCAAGCATATCTCCATCCCTTACTGATTCCAGATCGGCATTGTAGCCAATTAGCAGGAAGGGAGAGATCCTGCGACAGGTTAGCTGAGCTTTAGGGCATTCCATTCGGTAAAGAATTGAGTGTAGACTAACCGGACCAGCTCACGTAGTAATCAGAAACATAGCAATTATCGCTCGTTTTAGTCCAGAATCTACAATGTTTAGTTAGCTAAGAAGATACTTGACAGTAATTAAGAAAGATATAGTCTACTTACGGATTACCGTTCACGGTTGTCGTGTCTTTCGCGGTAAGGCATCGCAAGGTAACACGGGTTCCCTTGGAATATTGTCTGACGGCTGTGCAGGAGGTACGAGGGCATGTTCGACACTTGAGCGCAGAGGCAGTGATGGTCCCAGTAACAGACCTTTTCTCAATAGTGCGCGGCTGCGTAGTAGGAGCCTCATCTCCACGAGTGACAACATACTTCCCGGGAGCATCATCCACTGGAGCAGGAGCAGAAAGTGCCATAGGAGGCAAAAGGGCTGCAACGGCAAAAGCAGTGAACTTCATATTGAGAAGAATTGCGAATTTGATTGCAATTAAAGCAATAGGGATTTGAATTGTTGTTCTGAGGATGGTTGACTGTCAAGTTTGATGGTTAACTATTGAGGTTGATGGGCGAGAGGGCCGACTTTATACCTCCCATCTGTCCATACTATGGAGTCAAGAGGAGGAGCCTGCTTGGATATCTGAGCTGAATTACAAGAATAGTAGTGCTTGTAAGCAGAGCCCTTGGCGGTAAGCACAACCCTTGTCTTGTTGAATTGATTCGAGTTTGCTCATGAATTTTCTCTTGCTTTTGGCAAACTCGGCTATCAAATCACCAGAGAAAGGTGAGAGAACATCATCAGTTCGCTTAAAAATGCAACCCACATGGTATCACTGCTCTGTGAGTAATATCAGCTTGATGCAGCAAAATGAGGCGGATGCAATTCTTGTCTATTCCACGGTCAGAACGTCCGTGGGCAGGTCTCCAAACCTCGTCTCAGCGCTCAGCAGTTTTCATCGAAGGCCCGTACTCGCCTAAACATATTAGAAAGCATGGATTGTCGCATCTCCAGTCGCAACGCTAAGACAGTCCATGGGTGAAGGATTGAATATCAGATTTTTGGTACATAGAGAATTATCTTCGTCAGTTTCGCGTCCTATTCTTGACCCCGCGTCCCAGATAACTAGGCAGATCGACTGTTACCCTTTCTTCGTCTTCGTGGACCGCCATGTAACCGTAACTCCAATGAGTGAAGCCACTGTACCTTAACTAACCAGTTAGATGGAATCAGCATATTAACTGCAGCTAAATTGAAGGTGATTTCACTAACCAGGCGAGCCTCACAATACTAGAGGCAACACAGTAGAGCCCCAGCTGACTCAAGAAAATACCTACTAACGCAGTCATCAGAAGCATACATGTGATGTCCGGGGTATATTTTTGTTATATACAAGGATTCGTTGGGCAGCCGCAGGAAAAAGTTATCTATCAAGCAGCGAGGTGGTTAGCTTATAGGACTTACTATTTCTGTCTTTCGCTCAGGATCCGTCAATGCTTTAGATTAACAGAATCCCTGCCTGCATCGCTGGTCATGAGAATGGGAGCCTTCTCTCGACAAGTTTTCTGGCATCATTGGGAGCGGGGGAGAGTAATTCTCTCGATATATATCACACTAAATACGAGGATGTCAGACCAGGCGCAGCACCTGATACTTTGGGGCTTGTAGATTGATTAAATAAAGAACTCCGCGGAGGCGACGGTGTGTTCTGGATAGTTAGCTGATGCGTCGGTAACTAATGCTCCGATGAGATCCTGGTTCTAGCTTGGCTCCAACGCCCTAGCCGGTCAAGATGTAACGGATAGATATTATGTCCCTGGTATGTCTAATGGTCCCAACGAAAGATTTATCTTGCGATTCACTCGCGGCAGTTAATGGTACGCTGCGGCAGTCGCTCCAACCAGCGAGTGGGTTCCACGGTCACTAGTTAACTAGGCGTTTGTGTTAGTTAATTAACTACAGGCTAAGACTTAACTAACATCCCGCGGCGTCATTTCACGAAAAGATAATAGAATCATCTTCGGGATAGAAATATCTTTGAGTTAGTACACCACCAAATGGCTTATCCTTTCAGAGCCACGGCTCACTTGCTCACCCTTTCTTGATCTGGGTAAATACAACTTACGCCGGCCCTGGGCCAGCAGACCCAGAACGTCTTCCAAGCCTGTCTTTTCCTGCTTGTACGGAGTAGTAGTTACTCTGTATATAACCTTTGGGATACATACTAATTCTACAGGACATTTCAGGAGAAAACTTCATTCTTTTCCATAACTAATTATGTCGTCCTCGCTTCTCCGGCTGGGCCAGATTCTTCGAGGAAGTCTGGGGAAATACACCATCACCAAGCAGATCCAGGAGACTGTATGGCTTGCAAAGTAAGGTCTCTAAGCATATTATGAAGCAGGACAGTCCATATACTCACTCTTGATAGAGATCAGACCGAGAAAACTGTTGTTATCAAAGGAGTACGCGGCCATCCTCGCGTGGAAAATGAACGAGATGTCCTGAACCGCTTCCAGGATCGAGCCCCCTTCTTACGGCGTTTAACTGATGAGATTCAAGATCCATCAGACCCTACGATTATCGTGCTGAAACACCTTGATGATAACTTACTCAGCGCATCTATTAAAAGGACTTTGAACAGAAAAGAGGTGAAATACATATCAAACAGGGTCCTCAAGGCTTTGCAGACGCTTCATGAAGATGGATATGTGCATACAGGTTGATGAATCAATTATTCTACAATTAATTTGCAGCTATGCTAAGCTTATTAACATAGATGTCAAACTCGACAATATCTTCGTGAACTACAACAAGCATGCCTCCAATGATGTACGATTCTCAGACGTCCGGCTCGGTGACCTCGGCGGTGCCTATCCTGCGGACTCGGAGTGGGCAAAAAAGGGGACACCAGTTGGTGCACCCATGTGGAGTAGTCCGGAGGTGATCATGGAGACTCCTTGGAATACAGCAACAGACATATGGTCATTTGGGGCTATTGTAAGTACTTTGATACCCTTGGTTACAAACAAAACGCCCTTAATTAGGGCTAATCGACTGGGATATAGCTTATAAGCCTAATATATGGAGGAAATTTCAACCTTTTTCGCCCAAAAACTGTCCCATACGGCCATGAAGAGTACGGACTAGAAGTCCTCAAGCAGCAATTTCGATATTTTGGCCCATTTCCGGGGAAATATGAAGACATAGTGTCCCCTATCACTGTTAGAGCAATCCTATGGCTTATGCAAGAGATTCCACAGTCAGAAACAACCCCCTTCTGCCATACAACAGAAAAAGAGGTTTGCAAAAAGGACAAGCAGTTCATTGGTAAGATTATGATGATGGACTGGAGGGATAGGCCTACGGCTAAAGAGTTGCTTGAGGATGAATGGTTTAAAGATGATGACTGAAGTTATACAACCTTCCAGCAGGTTGATAATACAACGTATAACCTGCCAATATTGTAGTCCATCAACTGGATGAACACTGTTCTAAGAATACCAACTACCAACTACTTACGCTCATTCTTAGACCTCCCTATAGATGACTTGTTGGTCAATCCATTCGCGCATTGCCATATTTCAGCTACTTTTGTATGAATACCCCGAAATCTTACAGTATCTCCGCTTTTTTCGTCCATTCTACGACAACATGCCAGCAAGGTGAATCGTCCAAACTTGCCCTCAAACCACTAATATCATAATACTGCATAGTTATTCATTGTCAAAGGTATAGGCAAAATTTGATTATAAACTCCTACCCCTGACCGCGGAAAGATGTCTCCATACAGAATAGTCGGCTACCTATCCCTGCACCTCAACACTACGGTTATGAATTACTGCATGTACTAACGACATGCCCCTACACCACCTGCAGCTATCCTGGTACGAGCAGGATAACCGCCCAGGTACAATGGAAAATATACCCCTCACTCGTTCACACATGCAGCTTCTACTGAACCTTCTCCCTGACCCTGTGCTTTTACTGCGTGGAGGCCCTTCACAATGCCGGCCGACCGTGGTATTGTATTGACATCCAGGGGAGAAAACTCCGGCTTCATATATCTATCAACTATATTGAGGACAGTAACTTTACTTCCTCGAAAGACGGTAAAAGAGGTTCTTCGTCCGTGACTCAAAGAAGAATGCTTGTCGAATGGGAAGCTCAAATCGATACCGAACAACACACTTCAGGGCAGCCGTCAGCGTGGCGGGATATATATAAGATACTGCGCCTCCCTGGGCCGTCTTGTCACCTAAGGCAATACTGCTGACAAGATCCCCTTGGCAAGAAACACTACAAGCTCAGGACGTATCACTTGGGGGTTGGTTAAGTAGTTATGTGGAACAGAGCGGTATTATAAAAACACACGATGATACATACCCCTGACATAATCCGCGACCAGCCCTACGCAGAGGAGCAATAACGGCTCGAGAAGCAACAAAAACATAGCAGCCATCATACAGCGTACCCAATGTTGCAACATCAATGTCCTTCCATCCCAAACTCCGCCAGGTATAAACTAGCTTATATTCCAGAAGCGGAGATCCACCGCAACCTAGGGATGTTGAAACTACGGGAAGCAATATGGAAGTGGTTGAAGCGGCAAATATTAGAATACAATCTAAAGATAATTATAAATTCAGTATAGAAAAGTTAGCTAATTGTTCTATATGATACGAAAATATTAACTATAATTAGAAATTATTATTCCGAAAAGCTACTATCACCAAAATACATTATTCTCTTATCATTATTCACACCGGTCAACGCTAGAACTTGACTTGCGTAAATATATATAACGAACCGAAAGGGAGGACACAGAGTGACTAGAAGGCGAAAAAGCGAACTCCTTAGACTACTCATGGATCTAAACATCGGGTTAGTTTTGGTCGGCGAGTTCATTATCATCAGCATCTTCAGCACTCACCCCTACAAACGTCATCGTGCCCGCTACCCTCATTAACACAACCTCTATTGCAGTATCCAACGAAGAAAGGGTTATCACTACCACCGCATTGGAATAGTGCATTCCGATAGTCGTCAACGGCGTTTGGGTTGGGAAATGGATCTTTATTGATTATATTGACGAGCTCAGTCTGGCTCCATCCTAGAAATACGGTTAGATCTCTAGCATTTCCAATCTTGATATAACTAGCTAACCATGGAGGGGGGAAAAGGTCGATTGAACTACCTGCCTTTACCTTGGAGGGTAGACCCGCAGTACAAATACTCATCTCCGCATGATCTAGCTTCAGCGTGAGACAATAGGCCCAAAAGGGTGAAGAATGCAACGTAGCTGTAGTGCATTTCTTCGAAAATCAATTAGATTCGTGTAAAAGGCAGCGGGAGAATGCGATGCTTTGTGCTTGAGAATGTGTAATGTATTCAGGCCGATGTTCAAGGGGTTCCATGCCATACCTTCTTATATATCCGGTCACTTTCTTAGACCAGAGGTTGAAAAGTCCGATATATTCTTTCCCGCCCTTTTTTCACAAATTCGAAAGCTGACCGATGAATTGATAATCGCTCTTACCCCTCTCCTCTCCCCTCCCACCCTTTGCTTATCTTCTCTAGGAAGCTGGCCGAGGTGTGTGTCGAATGCCCAGTTATGGAAATAATAATCGATAGCAACTCGCAAGGTGGTTGACAACTCATGAAATATTTCATAGTCAACTAGAAACATTTCAAATACTGCTACCAGCATCTTTTTCTGGTTTCCTAAATGAGGATCATGCTGCGGAGAGTTGCTCCGCGGCTCTAGCTGCTATGATATTGGCCCGGTGAGGCAGGGGTAACGTGTTAAATGTTCATGCAGTGTATCATGATGCATGTAGTGAGCTGCTGATGGGTTCACAGTTAAGGGTCAGCGGGCCGCCTCCGCAGCGGGGTATGACGATCAGCCAGGGTACTTATCGTGGCAGGGGGCGATCCAATGAATGGTTATAAAGTACGGGCAGAGGGTATCCTGCTGTCCGAGTCTGAGTTGAATCGAAGCAGCTCGCCTCAACTAGTTTGACACCATGAGTAGTACCAGCCAATTCACTGATGCCCAACTGCTGGGCCAGAGTGTTGTTTTGCTACCAAGGGGTATGTATTCACTTCACCGGAACCTGAATGATAGTCCTCTAATGCGGTCTAAAAGGAAGTGATGCATTCGACCTTGACGTAGTCCTCGATCAAAAGAGGAGAATCGTCACGCTCAGCGAGGACCAGAGCACCGTTACGTTCCCGGATGGCGATACCTATGCCATCCCTAAGAACACGAAATTAACAAATTCGGCCGGCGGGACCACAACTAATTCCATGAGGGTTGAGACCGGGACAGACCTGGCCAGCACGCTTGATACCAGTGCGAGTTTCAGCGCCAGTTATGCTGGTGTTTCAGCGTCCACCTCGTCGCAATATAGCTATTCTCACTCTCTAAGCACGGCGAAAGTGTATGGAGTCATGAGTGTTGATCACCGTTCGTTCTTCTTGGAGCTCGATTACGACGGATCTCCTGTCGTGATAAACGAAAAGCTCCTTGCGGCGGTCGAAGAGCTTCCAGACTAGAAAGTTGACCAGACCACCTTTGATCAGTATATGAATTTCTTCAATGACTAGGGGACGCACGTCATGGAGTCCTGTGTATTTGGAGCACGGTACCAGCTCAAAGTCAACAACGAACTGACAAAGACGGAAACTAAAGAGAATTTCGAGCTTCACGTCAAGGCCGAATATAATGGAATAGCAGATGTCAGCGGGGACGTGAGCGTCAAGAAGTCGAGCGAGTATAAGGCGTATCGCCAAACACGCGAGAACCAGGTGTATGTTCGCGGCGGAACCGACGCTTCTCGAGTCGAGCTCAGCACCTCGCAGCCTGATAACAATCCCGAAGAGTACAGGAAGACCTTCAATGAATGGGCGCAGACACTGAACAATTCTAATACTGCCTCCCTAGTCAATATCAGAGTTGATAGTATTGGCAACTCCTTGCGCAAAAGCGGAAATCCGGACTACGAGCCAGCTGCAAGAAAGCTGATCGATGCTCTGGGATATATCTCAGCATTGCGAGTCATCCAAGGCCAGATATCGGTTGAATCATTTGGAACCACCGAGCATCCCGAGTACACTTGCTCTCTTCACAATGTTCCTGGTATGCAGCTGAAATACATTAGTGCGGGTTCGGGCAATCTATCGCCTGTTAACCAAGAGCCAACCTCGTTGAAACTTCGACTTCAGGCCAACCCGACGCCGTCCTCGGAGCCAGATGTCATTGTACCGCAGTCGGGGACCTCTGCTTGGGCAAATGTCCAGGTCACGACGCCGCAGGAGGCGTCTGTGGTGCATCTCGAAAAGCCTACGAGCAAGGGATGGTACAGCTTGGTTCTCGATCTGCAGCCCGGAGGACCTAAAGTACAGTCAACCGTCGATGACAAGCAGACTACTAGAGACATCCCTGTCGACTCCCTGGCAATTTCCGGCACGTATGGCACGTAAAGGCCACGATTTGCATGCTAAATTGATGTCTTTTTCTTTATGAGGAATTTTCGGTAACTTTGAGATCAATAAATGGGCCTAACCTAGGTAACTAGTTAACCTAGTTAATCAAACTTGCAGTAGTAGGTTACAGGCAATTGATCATCACCCAACGTAGTTATGTAGTAGTTGGTTACCTGGTTGAAGATAAAACTTGGTGCATTAAAATAGATGCCCTCTATCGCTTCTATACTTCTGAACTTCTGGATCTAGAAATGCCAGCGGGCGTACCATAGCTTCATGATCCTTTGTCTCGTTCGACGTAGTTGAGCTGGCCCGGGTAGAGCGCCCGCGTAAAGACAGCCAGGCGGTCCCTGGGCCTGCTTCAGCTGCTGTCCCCGTCGTCATCTTTATCGCTGCTACTGCCGCCGTCGCCACCAGAAAATGCCAGCTCCAGAGTAGGGGACCACGGCTCCCTCCTGGCCCAGTCGACTACCACTGGCGGTAGCATAACGGGCAGACGGTGGCCCTGCTCAACTATCTGACTGGCCAGATACAGTATTTTATACTGTATCGTACCTAATTTGGAAATTGATTGATGATGAAGTTGGGATGAAGCTTCTTGCTGCAAAGTCAGTCGTGATCGACAAATTGATCTCGTTCCGCGGAAGACGAGCGTGCCGTTAACAAGAAATCAATGCCAGGCTGGCGTTCTATTCCCAGACAGTGTGCAGAGCCTTATTGTCAGAAAGGAGGAGGATGACATTGAGCTCTATCAAATGTGCGAGGTCTGAATAGCCAAGCAAGGTGGAGATAAGATGACTAATACAAGGCTGCTCGCCCCCTGTGGCTCAGCGTTGTCCGTTCGGCTTCTCCACCGACCGGCAGGGCTAACAAGTGGTTAATCAAACTTGACTCCAGCACGGTTTACCAAGATTGCCTTTCCAAGAACATAAACGTGGTTTAGCCTATGAAAACCACAAAGAGTATGAGCGGGTAGGCTATCATCTTGCCCATAACTCCCTACTAGGATAGCGGTCCGATCCTCCGATCAACGTGATTGACAGGTTGCGCCGCCACGCTGCAGGGGCTAAACATAGTACTTCTACCCCTGACAGACGCGAAGGATCATGACTTTGAGCCGTGCCTATGCCATGCCACTGCTGGATATACCCAATATGGAAGTCATCTCGTGGAGATGGAGAACGGCCCCACAGATGAAGTGACCGATGCTCAAGGCGGAGCTGTGAGGCTGTTCACTGTCTTCCAATGACGGCAGGGAATGAAGCTGCTATAATGCGCAGTCAAGTTTATTGCTCAGGTACTGGATGATACAAATACGCCCCCATTTCGCGTGCTGGGGCATCCTCATTCTGATTTACGGGAGCCATCCACTCCAATTATATTGTAATACCACAATGAAGTTCTTCAGCTCGGGTTTTTCTTGTGCTCTGGCGGTGATCTATGCCACCGCAGTTACCGCAAGCCCATATAGCAATATTTCCAGTGTCTCAGATTTCATAAATCTGCTGGACGTCAGCAACGCAACCGGGGCAAAGATTGCTGATACCCTACAAGATTTGGATACCAAGAAAATCCGATCCTTAAGCACTCAAGGAAAGAATTCTCTCGGATGTCAAGTGAGTCGTTTGGTATTCGGCCGCGATTTTCTGGACTCAAGATCGAGCAACTATGATAAGAGAGTAGAAGTCAACTGGTTCGTCATCTCTGTGTTTAGCTAGGCGTTTGGATATGATTAACGCTGACAATGGTACTAGGTCTGCTGCATGCTGGCTGAGGCCACGATGTATCATCCAACCCCGGTCTACAGAAGATGTAGCAAAGGCCATGAAGATTGTCACATTTTTGGCCACAAAGTTTTCTGTCCGCAGCGGCGGGAATAATCCAAATCCCCGCTATTCAAGCATCGACAACGAGGGTATTCTTATTGAGATGATTAACCTGAATGAGATTACACTGAGTGACGATGGTTCGGTGGCACACCTCGGCCCAGGAAACCTGTTTAGAAGCGTATACAGCAGACTGGCTGAAGCCGGCAGGACGGTTGTAGGTCCACGGGTTGGAGACGTCGCTGTCGGTGGATACTTCCTTGGAGGCGGCATCTCGTTCTTTTCTAGCATGTATGGAATTGGTGCAGACAATATTCTGAATTACGAGGTTCGTAAGACCGGAGATATCGACATTGTTTGGCCACTAACTAATGAGCATACCTAGGTTGTCCTTCCCGATGCAACCATTACCAATGCGAATGCCACACATAACAGAGAACTTTGGTGGGCGCTTAAGGGGAGTGGTACGAATTATGGTGAGTTTACCAGCTACTTGTGGCGTTCGAGGCGGCGGATAGTTAACGTGAAACTCAGGAATTGTCACCCGATACGACGTTAAAACTGTTCCCAACAGCAAAGTCTGGTTTGAAGCACCGCTCTATTCTCCTGAACAATCAAAACTGCTGCCTGAAGCTATAAGAAAATACGCCGCTGCTGCAGAAAATGACCCACACGCAGCAATCATAATGTACATTACGCCGCAATCCGGTCTCGTCGGGATGGTATATGGCAAACCAACCCCCCGTCCCGATGTATACAAGAGCTTCTACGACATTCCAGCAACACAGAATTATATAAACTCGACCACTGGAACATGGGCCGACATGTACAATGCATTTACGGGGGTGCCCCCCGCAGCAAAGAGGTACGCGAGGCTGATGTATTTTATATGTCGGTGATATGATCTGTTAATCTGCTGACGCTGCCTGATAGGAAAATGATTGCCACGATTGCCTGCAAGTGGGATGCCAAAGTCCTTGAGGAAAGCTTTGCGACATATTTAGACATCTCTGCGAGAGTTGCAGATGAGTTTGGTGCGGTGCTATCATACAGCTCACAGCCTATTACGACTGCTGCTGTGAAGTACGGGTCAGAGAACGGAGGAAACCCCATGGGCCTCGAGGAAATATCCCAGAACTGTAAGACATCCTCGCATATATGCATATCTTAAACCCCAAACATGACTTCTCTTTTCCTAACTGGGCCGTCTTGTCAGGGTTTGTTTCCACTATCGAATATGCAGATAGTGCGCACGACGAGGCAGCACTCAAAGCCATTCAAGCACTGGGTGAGAGCGTGAAGAGCGCGGCAGTGAGTAGGGGAGCCCACCTGTCTTTTCTCTTCATGAACGATGCCAACTATGAGCAAGACGTGCTCAGCAGCTATGGGCCGAACAACCTGGCACGCCTGCGAGCAATGAGCCGAAAGTATGATCCGTTGCAAGTTTTCCAGAGTCTGCAGAACGATGGTTTCTTGCTGTCCAAGACAAAAGCGTAGTTAGATTACTGTAAATAGTTTATTATGAGTTATGCCTTTTTAATGATATCCTGGATTCTGCAGCAACTCTCTATCAAGTCAGTTATTCAGGGGCTGTTTCAAGTCCAGCAAGGCTGCAGAAGTCAACCATATATCTATCTGTGAAAAGCACATGTTCATGGCTATCCAAGCCCAGGGATCGATAACTGCAAACCTCGTGCTGCCAGGGCTTCGGCTGAACTGGGCTTGCTCGTCGATCCTGAAGTTTATGCGTAGTGAAGGCTGGCCCGCATGGTCCCAGCCTCACGCGCATGGAGACAAACAGGGGTTTTACCATGTTAAGACCCGATTTCCTGCGTGAAATCGCGGTGATCGGGCACTGTTCAGGTGATGGAGGATTCGCCTGAAGAATGCGGCCCTACCCTGCAGTGGTGCTACACAGCAACTTGAAAAGCACGGTGTCGTCCAGCCAGCTCAGCTTCGTCCTTCATCCTCCCTCGACGGATCTAAGCTGCTCACTCGCACTGTCACACACCATGAGTATCGACCCGTCGCAAGCTGCCCCCCTCAACCCGGGAGACCTCGGTCGGGGGCCCGTTATTATGGGCGTGACTTGGGCACTGACAGGCGTTAGCTTGATTATCGTTAGTACTCGTGTCTATTTCCGTTGGAAACGGCCACGTACGTTGGCCTGGGACGATGCATTTATCGTCGCGGCAATGGTGAGATGAATCTGCCTCTTCTTCTTCCTCGTCTTATTACCAGAAAGTAGAACCCCGGCTAATGGTAGAACAAGGCAATTCAAGTCGTCTTCCAGGGCTTCGTGAGCGAGGCCTACAGATGGGGACTCGGCAAGCGAGATGAGAACCTGGCCATTCCCGAATTGATCATGGTGATCAAATGGCTCTGGATCTCTACGACGCCCGCAATTGTCGTCTCGATCCTGGCGAGGATATCGGCCGCCTTAATGCTGATTCGCATTTTCGGGGGACGAGCCTGGTTTAAATGGTTTTTGATCTATTTTACCGCCTTGCAGACTGTTGCCGGTCTGGTCAACCTCATCGCCTGTTGGACTCAAGCCTCACCTATTCAGGCGGTATGGGACCCAAGGGTCACCGCAACACGCAAGATGTCGCCCCAGTTCCAAAATATCACTGCAAACGTATCACAAGGTAGGTTATTTTTCTTCTCTTTTTTTCCTTTTCTCTCCTAAATTATTCCATGCTCATAAGCAACTAACTTAAACGAATATTAGCCCTGTTTGCCCTCTCTGACTTGTCCTATGTCTTGCTTCCCACCATCTTTATCTGGAAGCTCAACATGCCGCTACGCCAAAAAGTCGGTCTGTGCATCACCATGAGCTTGTCGTTGATTAGTATGGTTGGGGCTATCCTGAAAGCTGTCACGTCGAACACCGTGGTGACGCAGTACGATAGCTCGATCGTGATTCTCTGGTCCGGTATTGAACAGGCTCTCGTCATCTTCATCAACTGCGTGCCTGCTTTGCACAAGGTGTTCCTGTCAGAGCTGCTCTGGGTCCGCAAATTGAGCTCGTCGATCGTCAAATTTGTCTCCCTGGACCGAAACGGCCGTGGGTCGAGCTCAGCTTACAGTCGGTCTAACCAGGGGGTGGACAGCCGCTCGGAGGCGGGGTCATGGACACGACGCAAGGCCTCTGCCCAGGAGGAAGGGCGGGATTCGTCTTCCACAAGCGATGTCACATATGCCGTACATATGCATGAACTTGACACGCACAAGACTCGCGGGGATTATGCGGTATAATATAGATCAGTATTAATTATGACTCCTTGATGTTTTCCAAACCCCTTTGTCTCTAGCTACTTATGAATGTACTGTATATAGTATAAATAATATTTGTCTTACGAATCTATTGCTCTATAGAAGCTTTGATCACTTAGCAACGATATACGCCAGAAGCTATGTTGATTTTATACTACCTTAACTATAAAAGAGTTACTCACAGATGTTGACCCTTACTTTGCTGGCGATAGGCTATCCATCGGGTAGACGCCCATGAACCACCACGAGGTGCAACCCTCCAGCCTGCAATCCTCCTGCCACCCTGCAGCCATCCACATCCAAATCCCTGTTCTTTGTTGTTCCTTCGCTGATCCATGGCGCTTCGATAATAATCGAAGGATCTACGCTAACCTAAAGCGGCCTCAGCCTTGCATTAGCCTCGTCGCGCCAAGAACAAAAACGTGGGCCCTTGGGTCGGAGCTCGTTCCGTAAGTGGGTCCGCCAAGATGCATTGATCCGCGCTGTCCCGCTAACTCTAACCGTAATACTAACCTCACGGCTTGCTTCTCTCCACCGCTTCCGCTGCTTCCGCGGCTTCGCTGCCCATAGCGTTTCTCTCTTATCTTCGTAGAGCTTCGCTTCGGCGTGGGCTTTCCAAAGCAGTTGATACAGCAGAAGTCGAGAGACTCAAGAGACCAAGAAACCAAGATGCTCTCGTATAGCACGCCCACGCTGGTGGCGGCCGTGGTGGTCGCGTTGCTGGTGCCTTTCCTGACTCGCGCAGTTCTGGTTCGCCGCAGGTTCTACAAGATGAGAGCTAACGGGATCGTAGGTGCTACTGCTTGCTATGCGCGAGGCTCTGCACCATTTGCTTAACCCTAGGTTAGACGAGACAACGGGCTGACATCTTCTTCCACAGCCCATCATCGAGCCATACTCGCCCTTCCTGGGCCATCTCCCGCTGATGAGGAGCTTGAGAAAAGGGCTGCCTCGCGACGCTCATGGCTCCTACACCTCGATGAAAATCATACAAAACTGGAAAACATACTTTCCCACCGCGAAGAAATGTCCTCCCTTGATCTATCTAGATGTCTGGCCCTTTATATCCCAGCCTATCATCATGGTTATTGCGCCCGAGCTCTGCGCGCAGCTCACCCAGGAGACGCCCCAGCCACGGCATCCCATGTTTGGATGGGCAATGACCCCAGTCACAGATGGTATTGACATTATATCTATGAACATGGCTGACCATAAGGTCTGGCGCTCCAGACTGAACCCAGGGTTTTCGTCTAGGAATGTCATTCAGAATATGCCTGCTATCCTTGAAGAAGTCTCCCTTTTTGCCCAGAGACTGAAGGACACAATTGATGGGGATAGCGGAGAATGGGGGCGCATGTTTACTCTCTATGACCGAGCAGTTGCGGTGACCTTTGATATCATCTCAATATTTACCCTGTAGCGCCCCCTCCTCGCACCCGTCTTCAAGGAGCCTGCTAGTTTGTTTGCTGACCGGACATATATTCACAGTGATCTTCACCTTAACGAACAGACAAGCGGGCCAGGGCCGCTACTTAAGGCTCTGAGGAATCTAATCACCCGAGTGAAGCTAAAGAATATCAAGAACCAGCTAGAACGATATACTCCAGGATTTAGGCGCGATGTATCGCAAAACGCGGCTACTATGAGAGATATCCTACTGCCCCAGATACAGTCGCGGTTTAATGAATCCCCTAGTTCAAAGAATCAGAAAACTGTCATCGATCTAGCTATCAAAGATCTGAAAGAAAGCGGATATCAACCTACATCTAGATTAATGAACATCATCGTCGCCAATCTAAAGGCTTTCTTATTCGCCGGTCATGACACCACTGCTCAAACCCTGTTAGTTTTTCCTTAGGAAGCCTAGATAGAAGCTGCTTTACTTTGCTAACTCGCTTTATTTTGCTAACTTGCTATCTTAGTTGCTGGGTTTTCTACGAAATCAACAAATATCCCGACATCCTTGAAAAACTCCGCGCCGAACATAATCAGGTGCTAGGGTTCGATCCAAAACTAGTAACCGAGATATTGCAACAAACCCCCCACAAGATAAATCAGTTAGAATACACGGCTGCAGTTATCAAGGAAACACTACGCATCCACTCTCTAGCCAACACCTTTCGCCAGGCTAACCCTAGCTTCACCTTCTCACTTGATGGCATCCAGTATCCAACATATAACTGTATGATCCAGACAACTCCAACAATGACCCATATTCATCCTGATCTATGGCCTCGACCAATGGAATTTATACCTGATCGCTTCCTGGTCCCGGATGGTCACCCCCTGTACCCCATTAAGAATGCCTGGCGTCCGTTTGAGTTAGGGTCGACGAAATGTATCGGCCAAGAACTAGCCTTGCTAGAGCTGAAGCTCGCCTTGGTGTTTACAGTGCGCGAGTTGGATTTCGATTTCAATTATGATCTGTGGGAGGGAATGAAGACAGAGAAGACAACGGGTGCAGTGCCGGACACAGTCAATGGTGAACGCACATATAGATGCGGTGATGGCATCGGTTCAGTTAAGGATGACTTGCCTATGAGAGTAAGGCTAAGGTAGCAGGTATTTTTTTTTTTTTTTTTTTTTTTTCTAGTAAGAGAAGAATTAATAAATGTCTCTAAATAACTAGCTACACGTTGGGCTTTATATATAAGGGGAATAGAAAACCATTCACTTCTTTCCGTTTACCGCCGGAACCTTCATTCGACTCGCAATATCACGCACCACATATATCTGGCCGTATAAATCAGTCACATCACAAAACATACGCCATACCTCCATCTTCCGCTCATGAAGCTTCCGCGCCATATGGCTAGTTGCTCGCTGCCCTTCCTCCTGAAGCCTTTTGAAAGCATCATCCAGACAACTGCGCTCGTACTCCGCCAGCCTGAACAGGGCCTTTTTCTTTTCCTCCATCGTGGCCGGGCCCGTCGATCCCGCTAACATCTGCAATTCCGGAAAGTTGACCGAGTTGACGTTTCCCTCTGCCTTGTCACGGGCTACGGACCCGTAATCGTTGTACATGCGACACATAGTAGACAGGTGCTTGCAGACGGATGCGGCCATGTACTTCTCTTCCGCAGTTCCAAAGCAATCTTTCCCCTGCCCGAGCGAAGCGCCCAACAGGCAGCTCACAAACTGAAAAGAATACGGGCATGAAGTATGTTCTGCTGAGGTGGTGCGCACCCAGTGGGAAAAACTGTCTGTGGCCGTGCTGTAAACGTCCCGCCCCCGAAAGAGGGGGTCGGAAACCCCTCCGCTAGAGGGGTGCTCGAGCTGGAATCTGGCATTGTCTTCTATCTGCGTTACGTGGGCCAAGAGGAATTCCTTCAGGCGCCGACGCAGCCCGTTGCGGTCCCAGGCGCTGGCCGACTTGACTGACGGGTGGTTAAGGACGAATGTCGTGAACTTGGTCAGCGGCATAACTACCTCACGATTGTTCTGTGGTTTGCCATTGTTACCATTACTGTGCTCTTCGTCTTCTTCCGGGTATGGCCGTTTAACGCCCCGTGACAATTCACTGTTGGAACTCTTGCCGGCAAATAGGGTATCAATCACTCGACGGAGCTCGGGAGTACGGCCGGTATAATGAGGGCCTGCCACCGCTTCGAGAAATTCGTCGGCCTGGTAGTTCAAGAATGAAATGATCATCATATCATACAGGAATGAAGTAGAGGCGAATGCACGATTACGATTGTTACAAGCTGTCCAGGTAAAAGGGATGATTTCGAAATACTTGTCCTTTTCCATGTCCTTGCGGGGAAATACCTCTAACCTGCGTGCTTGGAGTAAAGGCTGGAAAAGCCTGGCCTCGATCATCGAGGCGCGGATCTGCCATTCTGGAAGGGAGGTAAAAAGGGGTGTCTGATGGAACAGCTTTACAAGTTTGGTGGTATTTGCCGTTGAAACGCACCAGAGACTACCTCCAACAGATGAGGTGCTGGAGGGCAACGAAGTAGCTGCTTTGATCGCTGCCAGTTCATACGCTTCAGCCAGCAGGGGAGAGGCGTAAGTGACCTTCTCGATCCAGATGAAATTTCCGACCTGGCTTCCACGGTTGGCATGCAAGAAGCTCACGCCGCGCCCGATTGCAGAGTCTAGGGAATCTCTAATATCGTCCAGGAAGCACAATGTCCTGGCCTCGGTTAGTATGAGGACTCCATAGGCGGTCTGTTCGGTTGAGCCATTCCACGATCCGTCCTCATGCTGATTGAGCATTGCCCTCAGACAGGCCTGGAAGAGTGTGATGGCAGCCCTTGATGCTAGGTCTCGTCCAAGTAACTGCTCAGGAGAGCTGTCTCCTTGTTCTGCCAGAGCTAATAGTCTAACTAAAGACTTGACGAGCAAAACAGACGGATATAGAGGGCTCAGGCTCTGTAAAAGCGGGAAGGAAGACATAATCTTAGTTATTTGGACCTTTGGGTACTAGGTTTTCAAACGTACCCATTTATCCGCGATTGCCCCGTCAGTATTCCACCAGGAGTCGCATAAGAAGTTCACCACCTTTAGAATCTGTGGGGTATAGAGGGAAATATCAGGCTGATGGAGAATGGTAAGCAGGGCATTGCAGTTGGCGCTGAAGCTGGGGTTTCTTTCGCATTGGTAGGTCCGGAAGTGAGTGGCTGCCTCAAATGCCTTGATCATTGGTTCAGGCCGTACTGCGCCGCCGAGTAGATTCAGGGCAATCATGCCTCTAGCTGTGTCATCCATATCAGACTGAAAATCTGGAGCTGTATGTTGGAATTAATTAGCCCCTACAAATGTAATTGATACCTGTGGAAAGATGGAGTGCGGGTGCTGATAGCTACCGTAACCAATTGTCCCATCTCCGTTACTGAATGCACGGGTAAGTATCTCGTAAATCTGCTCCAGCTCTGGGCATCTCAGATCTGAAGCGGAAAACCCGGCTTCGAGCAAGGTTGACAATATCTATCGTGGAAAGTTAGAGGAGAGATCTGATTATCTTCGAGTTGGGAGAATACTCACCCAGGTATATTCAAAGTAGGTCGAGGGAAAGGCGCTAGGGACCGCGCCACTCCCCTTCCCTGCCGCGGAATGGATGACATGGCGAAGATAGCTCTCGGCTTCGTCGTCCCAATTGGTCGAGTTCATCAGGTATGCGGCGGTGGAGGAGGGTGAGCCCATCATGGAGCCGACCACTTTATGATGGGCGACCTTGTCAAAATCGATTTCGCCAACGAATGCTTCGAGCGAGTGCAGCGGTGTCATCTTCACTGTGCCATACAAGGCCTCGGGTTTGAACCGGGCTAACTTAGCGGCATTAATCTTCACCAGCTCATCTCTGCCCTCGAAGCAAAAGCTGAATTTCGCATCTGCCTCCTCCAACAGCGTGAGGAGCTTTGGGACAATGATTTCGAACCCGACGTGCATCGTTTCTGATACACGCCATTCCTCGAGCTGCGAGCGCAGCAATATGGCTGCTCGGTCAATTCGTCTTTCGAGGTCGTCTGGGTGGATTTCCTCCCGGAGCTGCAGGGGTTCTACTGCATGTCTTTTGAGGGAAAGCAGTGCCGCTGCTGTATTCACGATGCAGTCAACCTGGGAAGTTGTTTCTCTCCGCCAGCCGCCATCGTCGGACTGGGTGCGCAGAAGGGAGCGGAAGCATTCAGGGAACAACCAATGTTTCTGCTCTCCGACGGTCTTTGTGACCAGTGACACCCAGGCCGTGTCATAAGTAGTACAGCTCATTGACCCGTTGCCATACCTCGGATCGTGGTCCTTGAAGCTTCGTTTTATTAGGAGTCTTGCATTGGTTGCGAGGTCAGCGACCCCCGCGAGCTCTGCATGCTGTACGCCCATCTTTTCAATTAACTAATAAACAATGGATATGCGCTTGTCGAACCATGCAAACGAGGGTGCCGAACTCCTTTATGTCATCTATAAGTATATAAATCCTTCCAATGAACCGGCAATTGAACCCTGTCAGGGAGCATGCCTGGCTCGATTTGTTAACTCTTCCTCTTATCAGCTTCTCCGCTCAGCTGAAAGGCCGGTGGATATGGGTCGGTCTTCGGCCCGCAGTAGTTAAGAGAGGGGCCACTTGGGTAGTTACAAATAAGATGTCCTACCCAAGGCTCACCTGAATCTCTCTCTCTCTCTCCAAGCCCATGGCACTGCCTAAGTCGATGATATCCCGCCATGTTTACTCAACGGCAAGGCGTTTCAGCTCTGGACGAAGCTACCCTAGCGTTTCTCGCAGCATTAGTTGTCATTGGACTCTCCATTGTGGTCCTCTCTGGGTATCATTTCCTTGCAGCCCCAAACACCAGATGGATCCCCAGAGCTGGCAAGGCTCCGGGGTGGTTTGGCCTAGCCAACGCCAAACGAGACTTCATTGAAAATGGGGCCAAAATTATTGATCAGGGATATCTCAAGGTGAGAATGACGAACGGGGAGGGGGGAGGCCTCGGTTGAGAACGCTCCTCATGCTCATAATTGATACAGTACAAGAAGGATTCTGCATTTCTCGTACAGACGGCAGACATGGAGCGGATCGTCCTTAGTCCGAAATACCTGCATGAGATCCGCACTGCGCCCGAGTCGGTCCTCAGCCTGAGAGAGGGGATGAGCCAGGTGGGTAACTTGTTAACTGACAAGCGAGTTAGCCTTACATCCTTCGATCTGCAGCTAACGGGTTTCATCTATACAGAGGCACCTGGGCAAATTCACGACACTGGATGTGATCCTGACGAGCCACCTGCAAAGCAGTGTGTGTAAGACGCAGTTGACCCAGAATCTTCGTAAGTAGTTGTGGAGCGACTGGTTAACTGGATGACTTGTACGGAGTAGTTTATTGACTAACCGGTTAACTTAACTGTCAGACGCCCTCACCACGCCGATGCATGAGGAGGCCCAGTTCTGGCTGGCGCAGCGGATACCGATCGACAAGCCCTCATCCGCAGTTCTGGGCCACGACACTCTCCTCGGCGTCGTTGCAGGAATCTCTTCGCGAGTCCTGGTTGGTCTGCCCATGGGCAGGGACCAGGACTGGCTCCGAACTGTTGTGGGCTACACGATAGATGTCATGCAAGCATCGGCAGGCCTGCGGCCGTATCCAACTCTGCTGCGCCCGCTCGTTGCGCCGGTAAGCGTTCCATGATGAAAGCAAGGAGAATGCTGCTAACTTAGCTAACTGTGTGTCTAACCAGTGGCTGGGATGCATCAAAAGACTCCAGCGACACTTGGACACGGCCCATCGCTGCTTCGGCAACGTCTTCGCCCAGAGACTGGCTGATCCATCCAGGACAGAGGGAGAGCAGAATGTGATACAGTGGATGGCCGAGGCTGCCACCGGCGACGACAGAAACCCCGAAGTGCTCGTCAAGAAGCTGCTGTTCATCACGCTCGCTGCCGTGCATACGAGCACCATGGCAGCGACCCATGCGCTGTTCGACCTCTGCGTCATGCCAGAGTACATACCCCTGTTGCGCAAGGAGCTGGACGAGGTCATTGCCAAACACGGCTGGACCCTGGCTGCGATCAATAACATGCCGGTGCTTGATAGCTTTCTCAAGGAGTCCCAGCGCATCAACCATCCTGGGCTGCGTAAGTACACCCACTGGTCTTTGTACTTAACTAATAGTTATTTGTAACTGACGGGAAAAAGTCTCATTCAACCGCAAGGTCCTGCAGCCTCTGCGCCTCTCAGACGGCACAGTGATTCCTGCAGGCAGTTTCATCTCGATGGCAACCAGCTCGATCGCCCGAGACCCGGAGCACTACCCAGAACCGGAGCGCTTTGACGGCCTGCGGTTCTACAACATGCGTAAGGCGTCCAATGGCGACTCTAGCAAGCGTCATCAGTTCGTGAGTACGGGGCCGGAGAACCTGGCCTTTGGCTTTGGCAAGTTTGCGTGCCCGGGGCGTTTCTTTGCCGCAGCTCAGATCAAGGTGATAATGGCCACCATCATCTTGAGGTACGACGTCTCCTTCCCAGACGGCCAGAAGACACGGCCGCAGAATACTTTTGTAGGAGAATCCATCGGCCCAGATCGCAGGCAAGTAATTGTGTTTCGGCGTCGAAGCGACGTTTAACACAACATCCTGTCCGTTGTCTGAATATAGTCAGTGTCAGTCCTAGATGCAAATATTACTTCTTAAGAGCCTCTGCTGGTGGTGTCTGATGCTGGAGGAGTGGCTCCAAGCCCCATACCTATCAATACCCAAGTATCTTAAACCGCCTCTTGGTCGAGCTGAGAGCCCAGGGAAAACACCCAGCTGCCATCCCTGCATCCTCGTAACTTATCCACTCTTCGGTCCGAGATGCAGATTCAACTGTGGATTCATGGATGCATGAAAAAGGCCAGGGATGCTCCAGCGTCGGTGAGGGGCTCTTGACATGGAGGGGGGTTCAGTTGATATACTCATGTTAGTTATATGGGCCCCCCTCCAGCGCCAGCGATACCATGAGCTTCAGTTGCTTTGTCGGTTTTTGACAGACTCAGAGAGATGGAGACCACCAACGTTAGCAGCGGGCTGCTTGGCCCGGTCTATACCGCTCTGCCAGAGATCGAATGGAACGGCCGTCAGGGCTTCGCTCTCGTCATCGTCGCGATTTTATCTCTGCATCTCTTCAATGTCTTCAAGGAAAGCCTCTTTGGCGTCAAGGCGCCCATGGTCGGCTATAGATCTTTCTTCGAGCCCAAATGGCTTTTACGTCTGCGTTTTGTGCGAGGCAGCATGTCTATCATCCGCGGTGGTTATAGCAAGGTAAACCGCCCATCCTAATGCACAGTAAATAGCTGCTTACACCTCGTGTAACTAGTACAAAGACTCCATGTTCAAGATAAGCCGCAATGATGCAGACATCCTCGTTATCTCGAACAAGTACGTGGACGAGCTTCGGAACTTGCCAGAGGAAGAGCTCAGCGGCATTGAGGCGCATATCAGGAACCTCCTGGGCAGCATTTCGACTACGCATGTCATGCTTGAGACCAACCTGCATACTCGCGTGCTCCAGACAAAGCTGACCCCAGCTCTGGGTCTGATATTTGACGACATGAAAGATGAGCTTAATTTTGCTCTGGAGACCGAGTTACCAGAATGTAAAGGTTGGTTGTTGTGACGTTTTTCCTACCTATTGCCCCCCTTTCATTGACATTGACCCGTAGATAAATGGGTTCCCATATCCATCAACCATCTTATGTTACGGCTCCTCGCTCGGGTTTCGGCTCGCATATTCGTCGGTAGGGCCAACTGTCGCAACGAGGAGTGGCTCTCAGCCAGCATCGACTATACAGAGAACATATTCATCACAGTTATGACTCTGCGAATGATGCCGCGCTATCTCCATCCATTTGTTGCCCCCCTTTTACCCTGGTACTGGCGTATACGCTCCAACCTGGCCACCGCAAAACGCTTTATCGGTCCCATCATACGCGAGCGTAGGGAGGCCGAGGCCCGGCAAGGGAAGGACTACCAGAAGCATGAGGACCTCCTCCAGTGGATGATGGACGGGGCAAACGAAAAGGAAAGCAATCCGGATATGATAGCCCATATCGAACTTCTCCTTACGCTGGCCTCAATCCATACCTCTTCGATGGCCACGTCAAATGTGATGTATGATCTTTGTGCTCACCCAGAGTACTTTGAACCCCTTCGAGAGGAAATGCTCTCTGCACGGCGCGAAGATGGTGGATGGCGAAAGACTACCTTGACGAAGCTAAGAAAACTTGATAGCTTCCTCAAGGAGTCTCAACGAATGAATCCCCCAAGCCAATGTAAGTTCAAGGCAGTGTATAATTCTCGATATTTACCCTTTCTCATATCTCTTTTTTTTTCTCTCTAGTGGCATTCAACCGCGTTGTCCGGTCGACCCTCAAACTATCAGATGGCACGGTCCTGCCTGCTGGTACACATTTCAACATAGCCTCTGATGCTATCATGAACGATCCCGCCAAACTTCCCGGTGGCGGCGACCCGGAAGTGTTCGATGGGTTCCGCTACGAGCGGCTCCGTAGCGATCCCGCCCATCCCGAAAATGCTAATCGGTTCCAGCTGGCCATGACAGACAGCAATAACCTGCATTTCGGACACGGGAAGTATGCATGCCCGGGGCGGTTTTTCGCTAGCAATGAAATCAAGATGATCATCACTGAGCTGCTGTTGCGCTACGACTTTAAGTATCCGGAGGGACAGGAGAGGCCGCGCAGTTTGAGTGCGGATGAGAATTTGTATCCTGATCCAGATGCTAGGGTGTTGATACGGAAACGAGAAGAAATGTAGGTGGCATTGCATGGATATACATAAATGATCAAGTTGTATCGTGTTTCTAGAAGATACCAAGTTGTGTATAGTATAAAGGCTACTAACCGTAAAGTAAAATAACTCAATATCAGACTCATTTTAAAGCTATAACTAGTGAACTAGAAGCCTTTTATACTACTTAGCCTGTTCTACTGCTAGCTGGTTGATAGATATAAAGCCTAGCAATGTGTTGGTAAACTATGGAAAAGATACCAGGTTCAAAGAGGTCCAACTGGCTGATTTCGGGAGTACTGTCCAGGAGAGCTCTACTTATGCTCGACGCGGGGATCCTATCGGAACCCCAATGCTTAAAAGCCCCGAAGCACATCTTCAAATGAAATGGGGCAATTCCACCGACATTTGGTCGTTTGGCGCGTTGGTAAGTTAACTATACTCAAAGAATCGTCGAAACCATGGACGCTGCTGACCGGGCTACAGTGCAGCTCATCAGTCCGCTATAACTAATGGTTAACTATAGGGAAGGGTTCCACATCTTTAGACCCAATGTCCCAGTAGACCATGATGATTACGACGTCAAAATTCTCATGAAGCATCACCGGTGCTTCGGCCCATTCCCGGCATCATACGAAGAGATTGCAGACCAGGAGAGGCTTGCATTTCTTGCGTGGATAATGCAAAACAGCCCTAGGGAGATGTTGCGGCCCTTTCATCTCACGACCACAAGAGAGATTTGCCCGGAAGACAAGGAGTTTGTGCTAAGGACGATGAAGCTCGATCTTAGAGATAGGCCGACTGCTCGTCAGCTCTTGGAAGATAAATGGTTTTGCCAATAACTAGTTGAAACCTCGTTAAATATATGTACAGATCTAATCAAGCTGGGCCCTGCTGGTGTGCAATATACTCGGGTCTAGTCCAAGCGTATATCTAAGGGGCATATTTAGAAAGCGACTAATTGCTCGAATGTCTCTAACTAGTTATTAATGCTGAGGAAAAGTTCCAAACTCAAGACATGTTGTGGCTGACAACTTGTTGCGACGAGCCGGCTATCACTAATATTACTCCTATCTTTCCACGTCCAACATAGCGAGAGACCGGATGAAACAGGGTGAATAGCAGCTTCAAACAAAATGAATTGGGATGTTCTATGCTTCAACACGGCCACTTTGATCGCCGGTGTCTTCGTGCTCGACTATGGCGCAGACAAGTTCATCGACCACACGGTCATTGTTGGGCAGCGCCTAGGGGTCTCACAAACCATCATAGCCCTCTTGACAGCCGGTGCCGAGTGGGAAGAGGTATAATTTTATAATTGAATATCCATCTCCATCTGTCCATCCCGGCTAACTCTTTGAATAGCTCGCCGTGGTGGTTGCAGCGGTCCTGCAGCACCGCAGCCCCCTGGCCCTGGGAAACGTCATGGGCTCTGCCATCTCCAACATCCTCGGTGCCTTTTCTCTGGGACTTCTCTTTTACCCCCAGGGGCTGGAGTTTGACCGCAGCGCAAAGGTATACTCAGCCTTGCTGCTTGCGGTTACCACGCTCTTCACGGTGCTGGCATTCTTCAACCTACTCAATCGGCTTGTTGGCGGCATCCTGATTGCTATTTTTGGTTTCTACATCGTCTCTATCATCTACGCTATTTACAAGGGGGTAGCCTCGCCCCCAGAGCTGTCTGATAGTGATAGCGATGGGGAGTCGAGTGATGGCGATGACCATGGCCCTCTGTCTGAGACCGCGCCTCTCATACAGAATAATGAACATGAACATGAACACGAGCATGCGCCATCATCAAATGATAAAGGGAGCAGAAGAAACAGAGGGCTTCCATACCACATATTCCATCTCATCATGGGGTTCCTCTCGCTGTCTCTGTCCGGGTACATCCTCTCTCACAGCGCCGTCACCATCGCTGACTCCCTGCATCTCTCGGGAACGGTCTTTGGCCTGACCGTCGTCTCGTTTGCCACCACTCTGCCTGAGAAGCTGGTTGCAGTCCTCAGTGGTTCCCGCGGCCACGCTGGCATCATGGCTGCGACGACGGCAGGGAGCAATATCTTTCTGCTGACGCTCTGCCTTGGTGTCGTTGCAGCAGCGGGATACCAGGCACAAGGGGTCGACAACTTTGTGCTCTTTGAGCTGCTGGCAGTGTGGGTGTCCTCTTTGGCATTCTGCGCCGTCGTCTTCTTGGGCCTGGGTAGGAACGCTGGGATCTTGCTTTTGGCCGCATATATCGTGTTTCTGTGCCTGGAGTTTACCATATACCGGCGGTGATCATCACCTATAGCTTAGCATCTATAACTACCAGAAGCACTTAAGGGAAACAATTTCGTTGGCCTTGATAGATAGTAGGTAATCAATTGTATGAAAGAAAGAAGGAAAATGCCTGAAATGCCTTATTCGACATATTCGAAGTTATGCTGGAAGATCCAGCAGTGAACCTTTAAGACTATGCCCTGGACGAATATATATATAACTACCCGGGGACCGGACCTCATTGTCCAAACTACAGCATCATCGTCACCTCTAAAAGGGATTTATCTCGAGCCGCAACGCGCCTGCAGGCGAGAAACGGCTGGACCCGGCCGGTCGGGAAGGGTCTTGATTCTAGATTTCGCCGTTGATACAGATGATAAAGATACTGTCTTCATTATTACTATTATTATCACTCTATATATAACAACGAATCAAAGGCAGCAATAGGAAATACTTAGACCAGAGAGAGAACAGAAAATCCGGACGAGCCGGCAAGCATCCAGGGGTTGCCCAACCTGCAAGCAAGCTGGAACCTGCATACTAGGCGCTGGAACAACTAGGAGAAGCGGGAGCGCCGGTAGCACAAGGACGTTATATCAGGCCATATATACATACATCATCAACTGGATCTGGGCCTGGGCTGCTTATAACCAACTAGCGAGTTGCAAAAGCAAATACAGGCATCGGGATTTGAAGTTTATAGCAAGGTTGGTTACTTGAACAGAAACGCCTCACTCCTGATTCGACCAGAGATAGAGAGCGAGAGCTTCGCTTAAGAGTCGAACCAACTGGTTAACAGGAGTAGAGATGATATATCCGCGGGTGCAACTCCGCGGGAGACTGTTCAAGTGTAACAGGGGGCCATTTCCTCCTGGTGTAGCAGTATGTATGTATACTGGGTAGTTATATAGTTAGGTATATATAGCCGTATATTTATGTATGGATGTTGAGTGTCTGCTCTGGCTATCTATCAGAGACGAAGCAAACACCAGTTGTTGACTCTCTCATCCATGCGCTGTTTTAGTTACCGGTCAAGATGTTCATCTCGAGGCCTGTTATTACGAGCATTGGCTCCAGAACCTCAGTTCGACTCACCACGACAGGCCTCAGATACCTGACCACCGGTACTGTCAAACCAAGCCGTCTTCAATATCAACAATATCAGCATCAGAATCATCTAACATTTTGTCTTTTTTCTCTTTAGCTGTTCCAAAGTTCCCCTTCTCACGCCCTCGCGGAGCCGAGCCTCCAGCAGAATACGCCAGACTGCGCGCAACCGACCCGGTATCCAAGGTCGAGCTCTGGGACGGCAGCCAGGCATGGCTCGTGGTGAAGCACAAGGATATATGTAGTGTCCTGACAGACCAGAGGCTTTCCAAGCAGCGCAATCGTCCCGGGTTTCCCGAGCTCGACGCGGGTGGAAAGGAGGCAGCGAAGCGAAAGCCAACGTTTGTCGACATGGATCCGCCGGAGCATATGCAGCAGAGGTGAGAGAGATGCGAATGCAGTGCTAAAAGGGGTAGAACTGGAGCTGATTGAGGCTAACAGGAGCATGGTCGAACCCCTATTCACCCGCGAGCATATTGATGGCATGCGCCCGCATATCCAACAGACGGTCGATACCCTGATTGACGAGATGATTAAAGGGGGCGGGAAGCCTGCAGTGGACATCGTCGAGAAGCTCGCATTGCCAACTGCATCGTACGTGAGTGCTCACAGTGAGAGACAAAATAGTTAACATTAGGAGGAATCCTCTAATGAAACGAGCCCTGGGCTAGATCATCTATGGGATCCTCGGTGTCCCGTTCAAGGACCTCAAATATCTCACTCAACAGGCTGCTATCCGTAGCAATGGCAGCGCAACTGCGGCTGCTGCATCCGCAGCTAACCAGTGAGCCTCTCCATCATGCGTTCGGGGCACTGCGGGTAACTTTGAGCATGCAGTAATTAAGGAGAAAGGGATTATTGGCAGAGTTGCTAACCAACGAACGAATGTGTATATGTATAGGGAACTCCTCGAGTATATTGGGGGCCTCGTGGACCAGAGAATTGCCGAGCCACGGAACGATCTCATCAGCGAACTGGTTGTAGAGCAGGTCAGCACTTCCCTAACTCCCTTTTTGAAAGATGACTTTTAGTTATTAAGACTTTCCATTCAGCTCGAGCCAGGACATCTGCAGAGAGACGATGTTATACAGATGGCGTTCCTGATGCTTGTTGCCGGCAATGCCACGATGGTGAACATGATCAATCTGGTAAGCCAGCAGCTGCTCTCGACTTCGGCCGTGCAACAACAACAGCCACTCAAACTCGTGTCTTGTATAGGGTATCGTAACACTCTTTGAAAACCCGTCCCAGCTTGCAGACCTCAAGAAGGACCTGTCCCTTGTACCGCAATTCGTCGAAGAGCTCTGCCGCTTCCACACAGCATCTGCCATGGCCACGCGCCGTGTTGCAAAGGTCGATATCGAACTCGGCGGCAAGGTAACTGACTATCTCTTAGACCACTGTCTCTCCCTGCGTGCTCCTTGGATAGATCTTTCATTCTGACACACAGTCTAGACTATCAAAGCCGGCGAAGGGATCATCGCCGCTACACAGTCCGGAAACCGTGACGCCGACGTGTTCCCTGACCCAGATACCTTCAACATGCACCGCAAGCGTGGCGCAGAGTCGGCATTTGGCTTTGGATACGGCGAGCATCGCTGCGTTGCCGAGTGGCTGGCTCGTGCTGAGCTTGAAATCGTCTTCAGTAAGTGCCATCAAATGATTCACTGGTTGACCAGATTCCCCTGATCTAAATGATTCGTTGTAGCCACATTGTTTCGACGTCTTCCAGACCTCAAGCTTGCCGTCCCACTGGATGAAGTGAAGTATTCAGACCCATCAAAGGATGTTGGAATCATCGAACTCCCTATTACTTGGTAGACAAATACCCGTAATGGTTGTTGCTGTTACTGTCAGGATTGTAGTTATAGAATAACACTAGTTAGTTATATTAAAAGGATGAGCTCCACTCACTTATTTTATAGTTATTGATAGATTCATGTACATGAAAATATGCTATCCATGTTTCGGTGTCCTCGGCTCAGCAACAAATTCAACACTGCTGGCAACGAACTGATATCTCTGCTCCCCGTCCATATCAGCCTGCATATATCTTGCCACCACCATCTTATCCAGCTCTTCCCCGGTAGTGGATGGATCTACTCCATACAAAGGACCACACCTCACAATTCGAACAGGATCGTATCCCAGCATCAGCTCGTCACTCAGTACATGCCATCGGTTCCATACACCAAAGATGGAAGCCAGGAACGGAACTATAAGGATGAAGAGTGCGAGTTTGTTGTAGACGTATTTGTTCACTCTGGTCTCTATTGTCGTGGAGAGGTCGATTCTGTCGATTGACCTCCCGAACGCGAAGATATTGTTCATATCCCATGCACGTTCGATGCGTTGTGCGACTGTTGGCCCATCTGCGGTTTCTTTCCATCCAAGGAGCGCGACACCAATAGGGTATTTAACAATTTTCTCTCCGTTAGCACCATATGCGCCGCCGGAGAAATTCCAGGGACTCGATTCCAGAAGATCGCCACCATAGATACGGGGGAGGTAGCCTGCGCTGCGCGGCAGCTCGTCTTGACCAACGACTTGGAAACTGGAGCGTATCACTTCGGGGGGATTGGATCCAACCTGCGTCACGTTCACCCACCCATAACGGACGCGGCAGTCCACTGTGTAGATGGAGCGCTCCGCTTGCCCGGTATACCAGTTATAAACGTAAGCACCGAATACGGTGGTGAAGTCGCCATCTGTCTCGGTGGCGCGCTGGTTGGTGAACATGGCGGCTGTCTCAGGGTCGCTTGACTCCAGGTCGACGCAGACGTCCCGATCTCGGGAACTGCGTTTTGGGCTACAGAAAAGCTGCCTGCGTATGTTCCTAAAACTGCTGGGCTTGAGGCCGATTCGATCCGGGTTTGGGATCTCGTCAGACGTGCAGCTCGCTTGGAATCCAGCCATACGGGCATTTGCCCTGCACAGGGGGGTATTGCAGACATGCGCAGCGGGAGCATTAAGCGAATGGAGGGAGGTGAGGAATGCAGCTTCACCCAGGAGATCGCGAGTTGTCCCCGAGGCATACCAGGTATTCACATCATCCAAGAAGCCGCTGAAGTCGTTGTAGCTCCTATTCCGGGGCTGGAAAGCCGTCTCGAAAGTCAAGTCGGGTGTCTGCGAAATGCCACTCACGAGGATGGGGTTCACAGCGACGCCAGCTAGCAGCAGCACAGCGCTGAGACGGAGCGCCCACGATCCTCCGACAAACAGGTAGCGGATGCGCGCTACGGCAGAGACAGACCACAGCGCGAGGTTGCGGCTCTCCGCAGCCGTGATTCGATCCGCCGCCGTCGAGGGCGTGAGGTGGTTCCAGAGCGATTCATCCACGCAGCGAGTGGCCAGCGCAATCGTGGCGCCTGTGAGGATCGCCGACAGAAGGGCGACGGCGACCTGTGGTGTGAATCTTGTGCGACTGGCCGGATTGTCCCCTACATAGAGGAGAGAATCGATGTGCAAGGCTTGAGGGCTTGTAAAGAGGACTATCAGGAGAATGTAGGCGAACAGGATCACCAGCGCGAGGGATATAGAGATCGCAACCTTGACGGGACGGCTGTACGCTGTGTAGAAGCGGGTAAAGAAGTCCATGGCGTCCGGCCGGTGCGAGCAGCACAGGGTGATGGAAGATCGAGCCCAAGATGAGATATGGCCATGGTCGAAGCAGCTGTCGATAGTTATATACTGCATGCACCAGCATCAAGCGAGCCCGATCACGAGTCGCGGAGAACGATAGCTATCCATCCAATTCCAATCTCAGGTTGCCGAGCCCAGGCGGCGTTCTCGCTAAGGTCGGGCCTATCACTAGCTAAGTCGTCTATAGATAGAAAAGCTGGCTGGTCTTCATTGTATCCCTCGCAGCTCAGGCCTCTCTTGCTCTCAGGCAGTTGAAAGGGAGCGCAGTTGAGATATCAAAATTCCTCTCACTAACTAGCTACTAAAGGACCTGTATCGTCTTAGTTGTGGGTGCCTGACTCTTCAAGTCTCTAATAATATGGTAGTTATCATTCTGTGGATTTCGACTTATTTGTAGGTCAAACAGTCTGATAATTAGGGAGTAGATAGGGGTATCAGGACCGAAAAAGCAGTCAAGGTAGCGGACTTGGAAAATGGTCCTCTCAGCAATAGCAATGTCCTGTCTATCGTCAATCAACGACATTGATAACTACCTTCCCAAGGCCACCGCGACCGCTGTAGACTATCTGGCACGCCTCCCGGACAGCCTGGAGATCCCTCAAGCTGGCGGTCGTGCCCACAACCGTCCTCAGCTTACCAGACTCAACGAGGTCTCTCAACTCCTCCAGGTCTTTGCAGCTCGACTCGAGAAACATGTATGAATAGGTAACACCATACCGACGGGCCCGGAACTTGCGAATGCTGTCCATAGCGTTCAGGGCGAGCTTGATCGGTATCGGGAGGGCTGGCCGATGGGGGAGCTGCATCAAAGAAGAGGCCTGCAGCTGGTCACCGGACGGAGCAGTCGACACTGAGATAATGTGGCCTGTCTTGGGCCGCATCAAGCTCAAATATTCCATTGCATTAGCCATGGTATCAAAGAGGAAGTCTACCGTACCGGGCGGGATTGCATCCTTGGGGTCTACTTTTGTGTAATCGATGACTGGAAATATGGTCAGTTTGGTTCTCAAGGGTGCTTCCGAGCTACTCACTTTCATCGACAGTGTCCTCTCCCAGCAGCTCTTTTACTTTGGGTATCTTTGACGTTGACACTGTTGTAATCACCTTGCCGGCTTTGAACGCATGCTTAGCCAGCTGGCAGGCAAACAACCCCGTTCCACCCACTAGTTATCACATATCCATTAGTTATCGTTAGTTAATAGAAAGAAGATAGCCCAGAGGACTTGGAGAACATACAGCCAGCGGGGACCAGCACAGTTTTCCCTGCAAGGTCACCGCCGTAGCGTCGCAGTGCCTGCAGTGCTGTCATTGCCGCCAGTGGGATAGATGCAGCATCCGCGAATGATAGAGACGGGGGCTTCAGGGCAACGTCTTTCGCTGGACATATCACGAACTCGCTGCATGAACCTGGTTATACAATGCATGAGCAACAGTAAAAAGTAACAGGATAGAGGAGGCCGCACCCCGAGAGGCTTCTGGCAGCCGAGTGTATATCTCGTCTCCAGCCTTCAGATGGCTCACGCTGCTGCCGGCTTCTTCTACGGTGCCGGCGCAGTCATAGCCGATCTTGTAGGGAAACCTGGTGGAAATATGGTCAGCATCCAATTATCATTATTCTGGTTACTATACGATTAAGACTCACGTATCCGCCATCGCCATCTTCAGCATCCCGTTTGCCTTCTTGACGTCGATGGGGTTGATGCTGGCGGCGTGGACCCTGATGATCACATCGTTGCTGTCCTCGAGCACCGGCTTTGGCAGCTCCGAGAGCTGGTAGCCAGAGGGCGCAGAGTAGCTCGGGATATTGAGAGAGAGCATCTTCTCCTGGATTAACTAGACAGCTATGCTGAAGCCTGCCAAATGCAATGCCTGTTAGACGGCATCAAATAGTTAATATATGACTTCATGGGAGGCAAAAGTCCATCATCGAAAAGCCTGGCAAAGGAGGCCGTCGGGGAAACAAACTATCCGCTCCTTTCTACCATCATCGCCCATGGACCTTTCGGCGCAACAACTGGGCCGTGTCGACGATGATTGCATTTACGGCCAGCGTGGAAAGTCGTCTTCTAACCGTTAGGACGGCCATATCGCCGTAGTTTAGGCATGGAGGTCCGGTATTCTCATCCAAAAGGCCCATCCTGGACCCGACTTCAGGCTTCGTCTAACACCAACAGCAAATCCTTAACAATAGTTAATAAGTGACATATAACAGCCGCGCTCCTTTGCATAGCTCAATTATCTATCGTTAGGCGACATATTGGCTAACTGTTAGTTATAGCTAAGTTATATAGGGTGAGACAATCAATGGATCCTATATATTCCGGCCTTAAGCAGCAGAACCGACCACCGTGGCATCGTCCAAAAAGTGATACAACTCGATCGACACTGATGGCTACAGCACGATAGACAAAGACGAGACCGAGGATGGCCTCCCGCGCTATGTCCTACTCTACCAAGCAGCCCACGAACTAGGCGGCCGCCATCTAGGACTCCTAGGAGAGCAGGGTGTCGAGGGGGAGCAATGAGAGGTTCAAAAATGCAGATATGGATGATGGCTGGATTCGTTACTGGATTCCTCTCGGCTTCTATATGGTCATGTTCTATCAAGATACAGACAATCCAAGCTCCTGCTCCCCGGCAACTGTTTCTTGCGGCGGACGATAATATCATCTACTTGGGAGGGGAAAAGCAGTGTCAGGACACATGAGAAAGATTCTGACAAAACCGAAAAAGAGTATCTGCATCTCGCATTTATGCAGCTGAAACAACCTCAGGTGCTTGTTGTCCATCTCCATATTCAAGTGCAACTCTCTTCTGAATCCAAGCACCGGCAGTCATGTTAGGCTCCCACTGCAAGGTTTGCCACTTTCCAGCTACCTCGCATCCCGGAATCGGCTCGATCATCACATCGTGTTGAGGAGTTCCATAAAATGACATGGAGAAACGCTCAACCACGGTGTCTTCGTTTGTCTTCTCATCCCCATATTTAAGATGGCTTGGGGCAGAGACATGGTGCAAAGCACTCTTCCACTTGCCGTTTGACTGCTTCTCCAGCATGTCACCGACATGCACAATCATGGTGCCAGGCTTAGGAAGCACAGGTCGGAAGATTCCCGCATTATAATCATGGACTTCGAGACCTCCGACCATGTCTTGGAATAGCAGGGTCAACTGTGTGAAGTCGGTGTGTGTGTTCAATCGGTTGCTCTCGCCTGACCTTAATGGCGCTACAGGCTGAGAAAGATAATACAGCCAGCTCATATGGTTTCGGCTGCGGCTGGGGTCCTGCTGCTTGCCAAGGTAGTCCAGGTCGGTGTATTCCAGGATCTCGCAGAGAGCTCGTAGAACCTGGAGCTGCTGCTTGAAACAAGCATCCCACCACTTTTCGATGAAGGCCCTGAATCCAGGAAAAACGTCCTCGGGGAGCAGACGGTTCACGATTGACTCGCCTGGGCCACCCTTAGAGTGAGGATTGCCCATTTCGAGAATCTCTTTCTGCTCAATAGGTGCGGTCTTACGCAGCTTCTCGATCTCATCCTTGTCCCAGACATCCTGACTGACAAAGCCGGTTCCGACAGCTGCCCAGCCACGATGATCAGCTGCAACAGTTTGGTGCTTGCAGAGCGCCTTAGTCTCGTTCGGTAAATGGAAGAAACGCTGGGACTGCGGATCATTAGACAATGTTGGTTAGATGATGGTTTAGGACTTTGACCATACCCAAGAAAAAGCTTCATCAACCAGCTTTTGTCCAATACTGTGGTTGGACAGGTAGATGAAGCCGTATGTTTGGAAAGCTTCATCAAGCTGCTTCAAGGCATCTTTACGCTCCTGAAGATTTTCAGAAGTAAGAGCCCTGAAATCAATAACAGGGATGTTGGCGGGCTCGACGTATTCCTTGGTCATCTTGGAGGGGTATCTCGGAGGAGTCTCTTGAGGGACAAACTGAATTGGATGTGATTATGAGCAATAGTAGCCCAGCGCTCACTCTCGCGGGCTAAAGCTCCCTTATATTCATGAGATACCAATTGCGAATGCAAATGCAAATAACCCATAATACTAGCTGCGCCCTCCAAAGAATTGGAATATGCCACGTCATGAAAGCAAGAGCAATGCTGGGTTGGAAACGCCAGCAACCTACCTTTGATTGATGGACACCTCCCACGCAACATAGGACCTGAGCTAATGTTGCATCAATACATGGAATATGATCAATAAACTCTAGGCTGACATACATATATGCCATACATCTATGCAGTGCATGGTAACAAACCTTTTTCACACGCTAGCCGGGGAATTCTGTTCCATACCCCTAGTTCAATTTCGCCATCACACCAGGAATTCAACGTGTATCGAATACGGAGTATGACATATGTTCTTTTTGGCTATACTCAAAGAGAAGAAAAAAAAGCCTTTTGACCATTTGCTTCGATTACCAACATTTTGGTATTTTGAAATGGGCTGCAGATGGTCAAGTATAGTTAACTAGTGGCCAGGGGGGTTATCTACCAAGTGGGATTTGACTGCCCGCCGATCCTAAATGCTCAGCTGGCTATGCGGGGTGGATCCTTGGAATTTATCGTCGTAACAGTATTTCAAACCACGATATCACGAATTGAACGTACGGAAATACTGCTGAGTACTCCAATAATTGGGACAGATCCATCCGCATGCACATATGAGCCGTCCTTGACTAAGTATGCAATGCAATGCGCCCATTCTTACCGCTAACATGCAACTGATATCTACTGAGTATCCAACTGGCTCACTGTATGCTCAAAGGAGAGTAGATTGCTTTCAGAAGCTTCCAGTATAGAACGATTGCCAGGTAGGAGGTTATTCCTCGCTTGTCGGTCAAGCACAGACAGACTCCGTACTTCAACCAGAGTTGGCTTCCATATTTTTGAGGCCAGTCTTCACAATTGCGCCGCAGTTTACCTGAAATACCCAATTTGAACATTGACCCAGACGCCAGCTGCTGGTCCGCGTGATCTTCGATATGCGCATCTCAATTATCCAGCCGGTATCGACACCAGTCGATCTGTCGAGCGAGGAGCTCGAAGGATTGTGCAAAAACGGTATCACCTGCTCTGTCGTCAATTTGAACACTGGCCCAATCTCCGTCGAATCTCGAACCGACAAAGCATTAGCAATCCCCGGCCTGATCGCGGCAGCCCAACGAGAAGCACAAAAGGGAGCCGATGCCATAGTCATCGATTGTTTTGGCGACCCCGGCTTAGATACCCTGCGAGAAGTTGTCGATATCCCAGTTCTAGGTGTGGCGCAGATTTCAATGAACATATGTGCCAGTCTCGCGGATACGTTTGGGGTTGTGACCATCTTGAAAGAGTCCATTCCTATAATCAAAGACTCGGTTAAAGCATACGGCCACGAAGGCAGGTTTGCCGGCTGCCATGCCATTGATATGCGGTCGCTTGAGATCAAGGGCGAAGTCAATGAAATGACGAATAGATTGGCCGAGCATGCCCTCGCTCTGGTGAGAGAGAAGGGAGCTCATTCTATTATCCTAGGCTGCACTGGTTTTATAGGCTGTGCCGAAGAAATCAAAAAGCGGCTTGAGCTTTCAGGATTCGATGTCCCGGTCGTTGATCCCATGCCTGCGACTGTCTTTTCGGCCATACCTCTTCTCCGGTTAGGCTTGAAGCAGAGCAGGGAAAGCTATCCGAGGAGTACGATTAAGGAGACAAAGGGTTATGTAGAATTTTGAGGATCATCAAAAAGTGTGAATTCATACAGAAATCACACTCAACCTAAGATGTATCTTGCTCAACGGCTAGGAAGGCTCGATATAATAATGCCATGTCTATCATACAAGGACATTTCAATGTTATTGAACAACATACTCAACCTCTGCCCGCAAAAGATCGAGGCAAATTCAACACTATTCATACAACTACATGATAGAGGGCTGTGGTTGGTGACAGTCTGACAAGCAACGCCAAAAGCCCAGTTTAAGCACAGCCCTCCGTCTTCCGTTCTCTGATAAGCATGTAAGGCAGCGACATCAGCACGGAGCACACTCCTAGGGTGATCATCAACGCATGCCACCCAGCGTGAACCCGGATAACGCCCGTTGCGACCGGACCTAGCAGCTGGCCTGCTGCAAGTGCCATATTGAAGAGTGCGTACGCCTGCGCAATGGGGAGCGTAGCACCAAACGTCCCAGGGCATTCTGCCTCATGTTCTTCAATCGCATATATCACTTGAGTCATTGCAATCATTTCGGCTGTGGCAATGCAGGCACCTAGAACAAACAAAATGCCGGCCAAAAGCACTTTATCATTCGTGGTATCATGTTGAACAAGTTGCATTATGAAGCATGAAACTCCCGCGAGCATGAATGCTGCTGCAGCAACGATCCGATGTCCGATCTTGCTAGCTAATGCTGCAATATATATGGTAGAGAAGCTAGCGATGGCAGGCACCATGAAAATCAAGCCAGCACCACCAGATGACCAGTGGAATCTCTCCATAACGAATAGGGGAAGGGTCTAAGACGCAGCCCACGAGGCAAGTAAGTAAAATCAACTATGCTATGTGGTATTCAGAAATGCATTGCGGTTAACTCACAGTATCCAGGGATGAAACGACCAGCGAAATCATCACGATTGATACCAGCGCCAGCGGCAAGCGTGGAGAGCACAATAAACTAAAAACAGTGGCCGACGCCCTGATTTCAATCTGCCGCCCATTGTCGGCCTTTTGCTTTGAAGATGCTAGCAAGGGGGCTTCCTCATCACCGCGCTTTACGGTCGAGATACTGCGAGTAGAGCTTTCTCCGGGTGCTGTGAATGTGCTGTAGCTCTCGTTGCTGAACTCTGAGGCAGGCAAGGCGAGGCTAGATTTCGATATAGGAGAATCATCGTTGGCTTGCGTAGATTCTGTTTGGGCAGTAAGCGACAATAGTTACACAGCTAGGGAGAGCATATGAGCCCTTGGACTCACTCTTCCGCTCGATCATAGCGAACCGCATGGCTATATCCACAGCCAACAAGCCCATGGGGACTGTAAACGCCCCATAGAAGCCTACTTTTTCATACATCACTCCGCCAACAGCGGGACCCAGCAACGATCCCCAGGCCAGCGCAACAGTCGTATAGCTCATAGCTTCCCCGACCCGCTCGGTTGGCACGTTATCCGCGATTATAGACAGCCCGACGATCCATACCGCGGCAGCAGATAGCCCTTGAAGCGTGCGGGCAATAACGAGGACGGGGGGTGATCGAGCCAGCGCAAACAGACCCGTGGAGGCAGAAAGGGACGCCAGTCCTACCACGAAGGGCATCCGTCGGAGTTTGCAATGATCTGCGAAGTATCCGAAGAATGCTATACATAATACAAGGAAGAAGATAGTTCCCGAGCTTTCAGCCTGATGTCATTCAAAAGAGCCATGCGATGATGCAAACAAATCACTTACGAGATCCAACAAGTATCGAGCCGCCGTAGACGGAGAGAAGAATCGAGACCCATAGTTGAACTGAATAGACAAGATTATTAACCGGTCAAGCGCAGAAGAGTCGCGAACCGAGGGATCATGAATGGTAACTAGTTATACCTACCATCTTGCTGGCCGACGCCGATGCGATCTACCAGGGCGAGAGGCATGATAGGAACGATCTAGGAAACGAAGTGGTAAGTATACACCATCGTTCAAGAGCTGTTAACTCCCTCCCTCTTCTCCCACGAAGCATCTAACCATCAGATATATAAACAGATCCTAAAAGAGGTTAATCAAATTGCCGGCAAAAAGCTCCCCAGGACGCCGACGCACTCACAGTGAAAATGGCAATCGACACAGTCGTCACGACAAACGACTCTGAAGACCGAAACCCCTGAAGCCAGGCCATGTTGACGAGTGAACGGCCACCCTAGCGGCCTGGATTAAAAGAAAGCCTGGGGACAGAGTTGAAAGACAAAAGGTAGCTATTCGATTCCCCTCAAGACTTGAAGAAATAATGGGCTCGATAAAACCTCATCGTGAACCGCGATGATGAGCTCCCTGACCGCACCTTGCATCGCGGCCCCCGGGAATTGAGCTCAATAACTAGTTAAACTAACCATGTTTTGCTTTTTGTTTCTGGCCTTCCATGTCGATCCTGATTCTTCGGCAGCTGGTGGTAACTAAAGGCGTGGAAGATCAGCGGCCCCGATTATACCAGGCTACCTATCCTCCGTACGGGGTATCATTAACAGTGGACGGGTTCGTTAATTGTGACTGCTAAGTTGATTTATTTCAAGCTTTCTTTCATATGAACGTCCTATGATAAGCCTCTATAAAATAGAGTAGCAGGAGACAGACTTCACATAACTATTCCACAAGTATGGAGTAGATTGTTGAGCAAAAAAAAAGAAAAGAAAAGAAAAGAAAGAAAGGTGGTCTTGCAGGCGGAGTTAATGCATCGGCGGCGGACTTCACCATACAGATAAATACGGACACTCAGCTACTTAAGCGCAAGATATACCCGTGGCATGCTTTTGTGGCTAGCTGAGTCCAGGACAGCTTGCTCTGCACAACTACCATGCATGCTACACCTCAAATTCTCCATTGGACCCTTCTAAAGTTTTAGTGATGCTGGAACGAGATGTCAAGCATGGAGTACCTAGCATATACTTGCCAGAATTTGCAGATTACATAGTGTTACGGGCATTCCAAGTTGAAATATTGAATACGGCTAACAGCTGATCAATAGGCCCCCCACAGCTCTTTCATCTTCCCTGCATCCAAGTGGCTTTTGTGGTAAGTCCTTTTCAGCACGGGATACTTGGAGAAAGCATATGCGGCCAAAACGCAGGCTCAGAAGTGTCTTTCGAGCGTCCTCCACTGATTCAATTTTGGATTAGAGGTTATTCCTTAACCAATGTTACTACTACGGTATTATTCAGCTCATCAATTGGTACATAATGTCCGAATGCACGCGAATTGATAAAGGCAATTAACCATCCCCGGGCAACCGCCGGAATTGTGGTACGTTAAGTACTTCATACTCCAGCCTACGCTTCTCTCCACAGATATGGCTATGCCAACCGATATCGCCAACCTAGTGACAGGGGAGGATGCTAAGCTTTCGATTCAGTTCGATGAGATTCCTCTCTACAACTATGGGACTCGCAATGGCTCCAGGTTTTATATGCTTTCCACAAATCGTGCACTGAAAGACCATGAAGAAAAGGAGGACGACATGAAATACCTATCCAAGGCCAGACAAAGTGCCATCAGGCTAAACCAGCTACTTAACGGGCCCCATCTCGTAAAAGAAAGAGAAACCACAGCCCAAGATGAGGGGAAAGCTGTAATGCGGCTTGGGGACACCACTATGGTTGTCGACGAAACATTTGATGCGCAACCTATACACAGCCACATCTGGAACTCGTTCATGTCAATTGAGTTTCACTTCCCGAATGCAGATTTCACATCTCTGCAGTATCTACAAACCTCTTGGAAGGGTCTCGAATTCGGCGATACCCTTTTCACCAAGGAGGGAACACCAGCCTTCGAAGAAGTATCCATCGTTTCTGGGGTTTGTCTCTACAATGCAAGACTTTTGGAAATGAGTGCAACCAGTCCGAAAACCGGCGGCATTGATATTGATCTACTCAAGGATTCAATTCCTACATACAATGAGATGGACTATATTGCTCGCGCGTCAACCGCCATCGCTGACGTTGCTGCCATCAATATCTTAAGGGCTTGTGAGCAGAGCTCTGGACAGCGGCTTAAAATAAAACTTGATATCCCTAGCTGGCACTACTACCATACAGTAGCCACACAATTTGCGTCAATGAAATGTTCAAACACTGAAGCATTGCAATGGATGGACACAGTGGACCAACGGCATGATCAGATCGGTCAAACCTTCGTGGAAGCCATCAGATATGGGCTTGAGCAACGAGGAATTCGTGACAACACCAGCTATGATATTGGCATTACTTCAAGGACGGATCTACCTGCTATTCTAATTCGAACAGCTATTGAACGTGAAGAAATTCCTTCATTGAATTCCATCCTCGCTGCATTGGACTCCGAAGAAGACGGGTGTTGGAAACGATTCTACGAGATGATCCCGATCAAGGAACGGCCCTCAAATCTTGACCAGCTGGGTTATCTGTTCTATGTATACGAGGCAATCAGACCGTCTCTCGTCGAACGTCCAACACCAGTCCCTCCGGCATCTGAAAAGACCAAGAAAGCCAACTTGTCCAAGAAGGCATTAAAGAGGCGAAAGCCTCGCCGCCTAATCATCAGCGTTGACGACTCTGCGGAACGACGCATTTACTCCAGAGCTCAAAGGGTGCTCAGCCAGATTCGACAGTCTAGCGAAAAGCCTGAGACTTACTTGGTAGAGACATACGTTTGCAGGAGGTTCTTGATCAACGGAAACGAAGGCAGAGCGCGACTAGGTCGGCTAGATCCTCTTCCCGATATTCCAGTTCGCTCCGGCTCTCACCATGAGACTATGCTACCTCTCGATGTGGTGCGGCAGCTCTATGGAGAGAACTCGGCTCTCAATTTGCGACGGTGGCTTCAAAATGTGGGACTTTCAATTTAGATTTAGAAATTAGATCAAAGATACATTTCGTCCGCCAGGAATTCTATTGCTGTTCATAACATCTGAGCGTGCTGATCCCGTGTTCAAGCCATGCATGTGTAAGTCCATTCGTTAGGTGTCTATCCAATAGTTAATGTTATTTTTCTGCGCCGAAGTGAAGTTGCAAAAACCACCTGATACACGTACATACATGAAGGAGTTAAGACATAGTTATGGCCAGTCAACATCAAAATAAATATATATGTAACTAGTGGGGGATCGACAATCGCTCCATTTTTGAGATTGTTGATGCATTACGGCCGGTAACTAGGTCTCCCCTGTCCCAATGGATGCTGTCTTTCTACACAGGCTCTCCATGCACATATTCGTGTCTGGATCAGAAATCCAAGGTCAGCCAGACCCAGCACGTACACTTTGCGTTCGATTCTTTCGTATTTAAATGATTCCGCTCGCTGGTTGTTCAGCCTTTCTTTTACAGCAATTGGGCACACCTTTCAAGTCGTTATCTAGTTATCTCGTTAGTTACCACTGCGGAAAAGTTAACATGGTCGGAATCGATATCGTGGAGCCCGCAGAAATTCCTGTGATCGACTTCCAAGCTCTCTCAGCTGGCACTCTACAGGAGCGCAAGACTGCGCTCAAACAGCTAGATGATGCATTCCAATCGGTTGGACTTATACATCTTTCCAACCATAGCATTGGACAGGATCTCGTAGACGAGGCATTTGCATGGGTACTATGCTCTATCTTGATACATATACATCTCCCTCGTCTTCTTTCACTGACCTAAAACAGTCTAAACGCTTCTTTGATCTCCCAGATGACGTGAAGGAGCTAGTTCGTCACCCTCATGACGCGTCTGACCACCGTGGCTGGGTAGCTGCTGGCACTACCGTCTCAAGTCAAGGTGTTTGGGATCAAGAGGTTATCGAGCGCATACATAAAACCGGCCCAGTGGAAAAGAGGGAGAGCTTCGAGACAGGAGACCCCTACCCGAGCAGGATTCCAAACCCTAACTTCATACCAAATCGGATACTGCCTGAAGAAATCTTTCCTGGCTTTGAGGCATTCACTAGGAAGTGGTGGGATGCATGTGTAGAGCAAGAGCTTCAGCTTCTCCGGTGTCTATGTGAAATCCTTGATATCCCAGACAAAGATTTTCTTGGGAAACAGCAAAACCCGGACTTTAATCGCAGTGCAACTGGTTGGAATCATTATCTATCTATACCCTTTCAATCCCTGGCCAGTGGACAATCTATTCGTCTCAATGCTCATACAGACTATGGGCAATTGACTTTATTGTTCCAAGATACGACTGGTGGACTCGAAGTCGAGGATAAAGAGGCCGGCATTTTCAGGCCTGTGCTCCCTAGACCCGGTATGGTTATTGTTCAGATTGCCGATATGCTTGAGAGACAGTCAAATGGGAGATGGAAAAGCTCCTTGCATCGGGTTACTACCCCTCATCACCTAAAGCACAGTGATGTAGGTGATAGTCTGTTGATTGAGCGATTTTCGATTGGTTTCTTTATTCAGCCTGACTTCGACCTGGTTATAAAACCTCTTCCGGGTTGTGAAGCCAAAGGGAGATGGTCATCACTGGAGTGGGAGGATGAAATCACTGCTGGTGAGTGGCTGACTAGGAGAGTCGCTCTGGAATATCGACCCTCGGACAAGTAATCGAGGTCCATCGTACAGTATAACGGCTCTAGGTAGGGAAGGGGGAGGGGGGAGCCGTGTAAGAGAAGTCAGGCTATCCAAGCCATCGTTCAGAGGAGAGAAATAAAGATATTCTTAAGGAAAAAGGTACTTAAGTAAGGTATATAAAGTATTATCCATAAAAAAAAATTCACGATTTACGATACCTTTATTATAATTGACTGCGTGGTATTAGTTATTCTTTATAGACTGAAAATGAATTTTAAATGTATATCAGTTGTAGTTTACTATATCGAATAAAGATATTGATTGGTTTAGTATCAATTATATATAGATTAAATTTCTATCTAAGGAATAATTAATATTCAATTAAAATGATATATAAATTTGGCACTGTTTTTAATAGATAGTTATGGGATGAAAGTAGTTATCGAATGGTTGATTATATTAGTTGATAACGAAGCTGATGGTATCGATTACTCTGCTGATCCTAAGCGTTCAGGGAAGGAAGGGTGTGTCTTTTGACAGTATACTTCACAGATGAATATCTCTAGAAAACTCAACTGTCGAAAACACGGTGCTGCAGGATATTCACACAAGATGGTTCGAGGTTCACCTGAAGCATAAAGTAGACAGGTCAAAGATTTTTTATTAGATGCCTGATAGTTATCTAGATATATAGAACTAAAATGGGGATAGCCATGACAAGACTTGATGTTATGGTAAATAAAATATATCGTTAGCCTCTATATATGTTGACAGTCTAACTACTCCAATCAACAATATTCCTCTATCCAAGCTGTCATTTCTCCAATCGTGGGGCATTCAAGGAAGAGTGAGCTCTTGATCTCTACCCCTAGTTCAGTTCGGAACTTCTCTGATAATACCAGGGACATAAGTGAGTCGACGCCCAGCTGCACAAAGCTGGCGTCTGCGGTTAGCGCTTCTACCTCCAGTCCTGTCTCGCGGGCCATCAGCCGTAGACACTGCGATATCATATTATTGTCCACAGGATCTGCTCTCTCTGACTCCGCCGGTGTCACAATGGGAGACTCCTTGGGGGTTGAACTTTCCGAAGATGTTGCCAAAAGCGGTGCAGGCTCTGGAGCCTTGGAGGCCATAGTGCTGCTTACAACGGGGTTAGGGAGAACGATTGGTGGCGTAGGGGTTGGGCGCACAGGGGCAGTTTGGGCAATATCGTGGTATTTCATGGTTACTCCTGCAAGTGGTGGTACAGGTCCAGGAACTGAGGTTGTAGTTGGAGGCGAGAAGAATCGATCCATCAACAATCGGGGAACGCGCCGGAAGCGAATCATGCCTACCATGCCTACAATTTCTTCTCCCTGGAGGATGTAAACATCGCCGCCGTGCATATTCGGATCCTCTGGTAATGGGAACATGCGAACATAACTGCGATACCGGGCACCAGGTTCCAGCTTCTTTAACAGGCGGAAGCTATCGCATCCCGGTGTCACGAAGAAATAGTCCCGGGTGTTGGATGCATCGCTGCCATTCATAACCAGACCCGCTAGGTGGGAAACACTATCAATCCAATGTGGTGGTGTATGCCAGGTGCCGTAACGCTCTGGTACCAGAGTCACTTCAGCCATAGCTTCGAGCTCGTCCAACACGACCGAATCCATACCACGGTATCGATCCGCGTAATCGACTACATTCTTGAAAAGAGCGTAGGCCAAAGGCTTGGACAGTCGGCTTGCTTTGCCTTCGCTAGCTCGTTGCTCTAATACTTCAATGCGCCCCCGGACAAGGTGGGCTAACCTCGCCCATTCCTTCCTCCAGGCCACTGGGTCTTCGAAGCGAATCATCGCTGATGCAAAAGACTCGGCTGCGCATTCGCCAGTCTCCCCATCGGCGTTGAACCAAGAAAGAGACATGGAGTTAGTAGACAGATTAAGGTGCGCTCGTAACACCAATGGCTGGACGCTTCCCTTTGTCTTGCTGGCGACTTGTGCATGCAAGACCTCTACATCGGTGAGGTTCATGTGGACATCCTTGGTATTGGGAACTAGTCGACGGTAGAGATACTCGCCAACAGTGAAAGCCATATCGGACCAAATAGACTACAAAAATCAAGTTAGACGAGTGGTTGTTTATGTATTAAGTGGAGGAGACAACGACTTACGGATGTAGCAACACCACATTTGTTCATTGTATGTCCATGAATGGCTTCAAGGAAGTCAGGATGCTGCATATCGGATATGGTATGCAGCATGGCAGTGGTAGCTTCAACTGTTTCCGCTGTGATCTGGTGCACCAAAGAGGTTCGCAACGCTGATGGACGTGACATGGAAACAGAAAATGGGGTTGTTGGCTTAGTTCCATGCTTCAAATGAGCCTTATCCAACGTCCACGTCCCAATGTACGGAATCCAATAATCGATTTCGTTCCATCGGTACTTTGGCAGATGTAACAACGAGTATTCCCCCTCACGCGGCTTAAAGAATTCCGCCCAACAAGGATTTATACCAGCAAGGTAGAGGGCAACAAGGCTCTTGGATATGGTTGAGATGCTGTCTTCATTCCGCCGACAAGAAGACATGGCAGACGCTGAAGGGATCATGCTCCGCACAAGCCCGGCACAAATTGGATGAGGCCCAACATCGATCCAAATGGTCTTGGAGTCTACAAGGCCCATATCCTGGGCTGCTTCAATAGCTGCCGCAAAATCAACAGTTTCCCTTGTGGCACGGCGTAAGTAATCTGCGTTGAGGGACTTCACATCGTAGATGACGGTGGCCAGTAAAGGTGATATCACAGGAATACTTGGAGCTTTAAATGGGACTGCCTTTGCCAGAGCCTCCAAATCATCAAGAATTGGATTCATCTGTGCTGTATGGAATGCATACGGGACATCTAATATTGTGCATTTTATGCTCTTTGCTTCAAGAGCCCTGCGGATATCATTGATTTCCCCATTAAGGCCCCCAATAACAGTATCCTGGTTAGTATTGCAACAAGAAACCTCGTATGCAATTGAAGCAGTCTCAGGCTCAGCAGCAAGCATTTTTTGAATTGCATCTTCTGGTGCCCGAACTGAGAGCATTGAGTGGCTACCTTGTGCACATCGTTCCTCAATCAGCTGCGCACGTCGACCAACGAGGTAGATGGCATCAGTAGCCGATATAACCCCAGCAACAGCGAGTGCGGCGTATTCACCAAGACTATGGCCGATAACAGCGCTGATACTCACACCTAGCAAGGACCAGAACCGCGCCAGGGCTATTTCAAGTATCACAACGCTAAGTTGCGTTAAAATCGGTGATGACGGGGTATCCTCGATGCTATTTTCAATTACAGGTACGACAGATGGGAAACCTAGCCGCTGTGCCAGTCGGTCAAGCTGCTGTACCTGGGCACGGAAATAAGGAAACTCGGCAAAAAGCTCCCTACCCATCCCGTGATAGTAGGCGCCCTGGCCTGTAAAGGCAAGAATAACTGAGGGAACCTCATTTGGAACTGGGCGCACTTCGGAAGCAAAATTAGGGTTATCGAGTTGAGATCGCAGTACCTTCTGAAGACCCGAGATGCACGAAACTGAAGTACCAAACCGCATATTGTGGTGCATTCGACGAGAAGACGTAGTGTAAGCCAGATCTGCAAGGCTCGTTTCCGGATATTGGTCCAAATACGACAAGAGGCTCTCCATGTTAGCTTGCAGAGACTTCTTGCTCTTTGCAGATAAGAGTACCGAATGAGTGATACGGTCTTCCGTGCCTTGGATCTTCACTCTTTCGGGTGCATCTTCCAGCAGCAATGTAGTATTGCCTCCGTGCGCTCCAAATGAATTAACCACCGCAAGGCGCTTCTTGCCTGCTGGACGTGGCCATGGCGTGTTTTGCATGGCAAGTCCAACATTCCGCCGCTCGAGATCCTTAGGTATGGTTGGATTGATCTCACTCTTGATGCCGATGTGCATGGGAATCAAATTTTTCTGATACACAAGCAAAGCCTTCAGAAGAGATGCAATACCAGCTGCGGCTTCACCGTGTCCGATGTTACTTTTCACGGCCCCTAAGTATAGTCGCTGGTCAGGTCGACGACGAGGTGTCACAGGTGCAAATATATCTGACACGGATTCAGACTCGACCGCGTCCCCAGCCTGAGTTCCTGTACCATGGAGCTCAATGTAGCTAACATCAATTGGGTTAACGCCAGCTTGGTTCAACACTTGTCGATAGTTGGCTTTTTGCGCACCAGCGTGTGGGTGCGTGATCGAGATAGCCTCTGCTGAGTGATTAGTGCAAGCACCAAGGACCACTGCCAAAATATTATCATTATCAGCCTCAGCATCCTCAAGTCGTTTGATGACAACAGACCCAATTCCATCAGCACGACAGTATCCGTCTGCATCCTTGTCCCAAACCTTGCACTGTCCGGTCTTCGAAAGAAAGTGGGCATTCCCCAGGCCACAGTAGTTATCAGGATCCGTTATAACATTAAGGCCTCCAGCAATAGCAGTATCAACCTCACCAGCCCACAATGCGGAGCAAGCAGCTTGCACCGCAGCAAGCCCACTTGAGCAGGCTGTATCAAGGTTGAATGACGGACCAGAGAATTTAAAAAAGTAATTGATTCGCCCATTACCAAATGCACGCTCGCCACCGGGAACTGCATATGTGCTGATGTTCTGTGACGCATTTAGTTCCCTCCAGTCATCACTAGCCTGGCCGTAGAATGTGCCAATGCGGCTAGGGTGAGTGGAAGGGGTGCGACCAGGAACAACACCTGCCATCTCCAAAGCTTCATAGGCTGTAACAAGGGCAAGTCTTTGCATCGGATCTGTTTGCTCGGCCTGATTTGGTCAGTCTCAAGAACGGCAATCTATGTGGATCAAAAGGATTATCATACCTCTCTCGGGGACATATTGAAGAAACCTGCGTCAAAAAATCCTGGGCGATCGATGAAGTTGCCATATGGCGTCTGTGTTGTATTTTCCGTTTTCCCCGTGGGATCGTAATGAGTGTTTAGGTCAAATCGATCGGGAGGGACTGTAGTGAGAGTATCTCGTCCTTCCTCCAGCAATTTCCAGAAGAGATCGAGATCATTAGCACCCCCAGGTAGCCTACAGGCCATGCCCACAATAGCAAGTTTCGAAGAAGCATGCGAGCGAGGTCGACGGGGTCCGAAGTCTTTATTAACCCAGTTCACCAGGTCTCGACGGGTGAGTTGCCGCTGTTCTCCAGAAATTTTGGCCTCCACGGCGGAGTGGATGCTGCGAAGAACAAGTGACGTCCGGAATGAGTCAATTTGCCAGCTGCTCATTTCTTTTGACTGTGGCTGAAGGTGCCGAACAATGCCTGCAGTAACATTGTCAAGGTAGATAGTGCCAGTAAGTAGCTCAGTTCCAATTTCAAGGAAGAGCTCGCTGGCTGTTTTTGCGATGAATGGTTTGCCAGTTTTAGAGGAGAGCAATGCCAGCCGTACTGACCGGTCAGGCAGGATAACGCTCTCCGCGCTATTTATTATGGAATCTATATCGCTCTGTGTGTACAGATGCGACGCGTGACAGAGACCATCATAAACAGGCAATGGGAGAGACTTGGAATAACGGAGGACAGGAGAGTGTTGAAAGGCTGCCTTGATGCGTGATGGCGGTCCACTTACACTGACGGATGTCTTGTCTGCAGCACTGATGAAGACCTTAGTCAGTTCTGGGCTATGCGTGTCCGTGTTGAACTGCTTAAGCTCATCCTGGACACTCGCCTCTGTCATCTCCGTAACAACGTGAGCCCAGCTGCTAAGGGTCCCATCTGACTGCGGTGCTTCGAGTTTGGCTGAAATATCAGCAACATAGACACCCAGTCGGAAGGAAACCCGCACCGCTTCCGCACCGGCTTTAGCCACGTCGGATAAACCGCTAGACAAAGCGACAGCGGCAGCAGCCAAGATGCCGATACTAAGGCCTGCGAGAACACTTTCTCCTGGAACTAGGTCCCATTCTGTGTCCTCTGATTCATAATGGCTAGTGTATACAAAGACTGGTTAGCGTCTTGACCTGACCCAGCAAACAAAGAACAGAAACATACCCGATAAACAACCCCAATTCTAAAATAGTAAGCATGGAGCTCTCCATGGCAGCTCCCAGAGGTCCCTGACGAAAGTCGACATCGACGAGACCGAGGACGGAGCCGAAGGGCGGTACCAACTCCTTCAGTGGCCGGGGAAGCTTCGACACCTCATCTTTCAAAATGGCTGTTGATTCCTCTAGAAAGATGGAAAGTAGTCTGAACCGCCTGTCTTTGCTATGTTGATCTAGACGGCGAAAGAGCTCTTTCAAGTCATCGCTGGGGAATTCGTTGCTGAAGAAAACTACCCGCCGAAAAGTTGAATCCATGATTCTGTTGTCAATGATAATAGTTGTTCTTGTTGATTGACATTTAGCAACACTATGAATCCCTTTTAATAACCATGGACATGGCTTGGTAGATGTAGACTTCAAATGTCTCGGTTGTACATGGCCATAAAATCCGGATGTCGCAAAATCCGAAGGAAATACCAACGGCCTTTGCACAAACACCGACAGGAGGTAGCGCTAGGTGTAAATGCCGAGGGTCAATAAAAGGTAAAGGAAGCTCGAGTGATCATATAAAGGTTAACATCCAGGTAGAGAAGGGTCGACGTTATGCATATTTGGCAATAGTCTCTAGCTATCAATTACCACCACCATGACTTCCGTCCCTATTTTTGAGTCTGTCTCCCGTTTCCTTCCCCCGGCCAACGAAGATGAGAAGTTTTGGTGGAAGGTCACCGGCCGACATATGGCTCGCATGATGCATGAGGCAGGATACCCAGAAGATCGTCAGGTCGAATGCCTTCTCTTTCATCGCTTTAAAGTCGTCCCTTGTCTTGGTCCCCGACCACACTCCGACACACCCTGGTATAAGAGCCGTGTGGGCGGCGGTGCGGCAGATGGATGCCCAATCAACTATAGTTGGAGATTTGGCACCGCTGATAGAAGGCCACATATTCGCAACTTCATCGAACCCCTTGGAGCCCTGACGAACACCTCAGCCGACCCGCTCAACGAGGTTGCTACTAAAGCCCTCCTACATGATTACAGCATGACTCTACCCAATGTCGACCTGGAGGCATTTTGGACCTTCGCCCCTCATTATCGGCCGCGTATTATCGAGAAGGCTGATATGGAAAAGCTTGCCGGGGCTTCGTTGCTTGTTGGAGCAGAGATGTCTCCTGACTCTCATACCATCGATATTAAGGCATACATGTACCCTCGAGTCCCATCGCAAACTAGTCAACTTCTCACCACAATTCTGCCCCAAGCCATGCGTGACGCTTATGGGGAGGATGTGTGTCTCGACAGCCTCAATTTCGTCCATGACTTTATGACCAAAGATCCGCAGGGATGTCAACTTGTTTTGACTGGCACAACCGGGATAGATTGCTGCAAACTCCAGGATACACGCGTGAAAATTTATGTCATCACCCGTAACACTTCTTTCGACCATATTGCCGCCATCGTGACACTAGGCGGCCGACGTCCAATCTCGGAGGAGCTCCTTGGCCAGTTAAAGGCGCTTTGGTATGAGTTGAAGGGAGCCCCGGCAGAACTACCCTCGTCTGAGCAGCTACCGGTTCAAACAAAACCAGATGGCAGCAAGAATCCAATCGTGGTCCCCTTCTATTTTGATATCCAACCACGGCTTGCACTGCCGGACGTGAAGGCATACATCGATGTGAGCACTAGCCCTGTGAGCGATCTTGCGGCCGCTAATGCAGTGGTTTGCCATTTGGAGCAACATGGTAGCGGCCAAAATCCGAGAGCATACTTGAATGTGCTGAAAGACATAACTCCAGTGGAGGAGTTGGAGACGCAGAAAGGAGCCCTCGCATTTTACTCCGTAGCTGTCAAGAAGAATGAGCTGGATATAACCTCATACTTTAACCCGCAGGTGTATAAGCGTTACTTCGCTCATGAAGTACAGCTTAATGGACAGCGACGGAGTGTATTCGAGTAGATTCAAATCTGTTAGGCTTGTAATGCTGATAGTGTGAAATTTATTTTGATTTATCGTTCTTCAGTGTCGAGATTGATTGCAGAGGTTATCGTTTGACGTTAGAATAAGCTTTGATTGGTTCATTAATAAGCAAAGTTAGTTTTATTAGTTTTCTATTTTTAGCTAACCCCTTGTGCCTAGATGCTATTAGTTAAACTTTAGTTCCATCCTAGAACGCTAACGACACATCCCCGCCTCGTATCAAGGCTAGATTATGATAATCTATAAAAGCCGTTTCTAAACACCGAGCGCTGTCGTTTTATTTTATTTTCCATTTACGTCGGTTTTTGGAACCCGACCGAGGAGATTATTCAGACCGCGCATATTGATGTTATTACCATCAAGATATATTAGCATTACTCGAAATAATGCAGAAACTCATTGCAAGCCTGGGCCAAAATGGGGAAGCAGCAAGAAACCATTCTTATCATTGGCGCCGGTATTGCTGGTCTTACAACTTCTCGCCTCCTCACAAACAATGGAATTCCCAATGTCGTCTTTGAAGCATCGACACCGGATCGCAGCCAAGGATTTGCCATCAGTCTTCAGGAGTTTGGGTACTCGGCACTTCTCGCCGCTCTGGGTGATCTCCCCTTCAGCAGCCTGATCAGGGGCGTCGCGCCAGACCGACAAATTGGTGGAAGTGGTTGGATTGACCAGGCGCTGAGGGATAATCGAACGGGTGAAGTATTAGTCGCTCCAGACCTCACAACAGCGAAGCAGACGATTGTGCGCGCGAATCGTAATGCACTGCGCCATTGGATTGCGGATTGCGGGGAGGATGAGCTTGATGTGCGATATGGGCATAAACTGCAGAGGATCGAGGGAAGATTAGGCGATGTTACTGCAGTGTTTGAGAACAATGCCAGATACAAGGGGTCTCTCATTATCGCCGCTGATGGCGTAAATTCCACCGGTATGTAACCCTCGTTTCTAGCATTTAACAGTCTGTTCTTTATTCTGTGGTGCTAGTTTTATGATTAGATGGAAGGCATTAACTAACCACAAACAGTCCGGTCCCAGATTCTTCCCAACGTGGTTCCTGAGACAATTCCTTTAATTCACTATCATGGAGAGTTCCAGCTTCCTCACTCTGCCTTTGATGAGCTCATTCGGCCCCATAGTAGACAGTCTAATATTCTCGTTGGTGTTGGTGACAGATTCAACACTCCACTGTCAATTTGCAACATCACCAAGTCTCAAGTGCACCTCGATTGGTCATATTCACGAACTGTTAAGGGCGAAAATGATATTCTATATCGCCCTAATGTCCCATCCGAAGAGGCAAAACAGATTCCTCCAGCGCTGCTCGAGGAATTAGATACTCTTTGCTTAGCGGAGCCGTGGAAGTCTTTCTTGAATTCGGAGTCTGTCAAGACCCACAGAGTATTCCATTGGACTACCAGGTGCGTTTACATTACGCAGGATGATGCTCGGCACGCAGGTGAGCAGGGTGTCGTCTTTGTGGGTGATTCGTGGCATGCAATGCCTATTTTTGGTGGTGAGGGAGGGAACCATGCACTTCTTGATGGTGTCGAATTAGCCGATGCCATAATCACTTCTACTTCAAACAGTGGGAAGGGTTCGTGGGACAATGTTGTTAAAAATTATTATGGTGGCGCATGGAAACGGTCCCAAGATGCTGTTCGACGGTCAACTCAGCGCTTCTTTCTACTTCATCGACCAGCCACAGAGTGGAAAGAGATTTCAGAGAAAAAGAAACAGATAGCATGACATGGTATTATTATATCCGTACCTTTTCCTACCAAGTCATACACACATCCCTCTCTTGTCATTTAAATTCTTGGAATACCTAGCATATAACCACTGGATTAGACTATTCAAGTGTATTCCAACTATATTCAACTGAGATTTATCTAAATTAACTAGGGTATCCACGTGCCTTATTCCGTTTTCTCTGTTCTAATGCAAACCATTGTCGCTTGAGAGGATCCCCTGGCTTAAACCCCACCATCCGATCTTCCGTTAATTTCCATAACACTTGAAGTAATGAAGGCGCCAAAGCCTTCTCAATTACCTCCGGTGGTAGTTTTCCATATATTGCCATCACAATTTCATTCAGCGTTAGCCCACATTTTACCCCTTCTTCCCGCAATCCTTCACCTCGGACCCGTTGCCTTGTCAGCGCGGATAACATCATCCGCTCTCGCCCCTCCCTATGCTGTATATATTCCTCTAGCTTCCCTGGTAGGTTTTCAATCACAGCCCCGTGTGCCGGATATCCAATTCTGCAGCCCAATGAAGCCATATCCCTTAGGCTATCCATATACCGTCCCAAATCCTGAGCGACGCTGAAGCCATGACCCAGAACATTATCCCCCGTGAAGAGGGCATTTTCTTCCTCCAACAGAAAGCACATGTGATCTACTGAGTGACCAGGTGTAAAGATCGCACGCACTGTCGCCCCGTCCACGGAGAAAATTTGCCCATGTGTGATTGGATTTTGGCCTGAGTCGGGGTGATTTTTGTATATTTTGTCTGCTAGGGAAGAGTTTTGTGCAATCAAGTCTGGGACACCGCCGGTGTGGTCCCCATGCCAATGGGTAAGGAGAACGTAGGAAAGTTCAATCTTTTGTGTATGCAGAAACGATGATATGCAGTCTATCCAGACAGGGAGGCCCTTTTGGTATTGATTAGCGAATTTTCAATTTTTGTAGGTCCAGGTGAAAGCCACCTCTTTTACCTACCTGAGCTGTATCGATCAGGATGCGCGATCTGCCAGTTCCAACGAGATAGGTATTTGTGCCTTGGAGATGCATGCTACCTGGGTTTCCACCTAGGATCCGAATAACGCTTTTACTGACATGGGATATATCCGGCAGAGTAGGTAATTGGCCCTCGCGGCCACTGAGAAATTCCTCCCAGAAAGACTGGTTGAATGGTAGGCGACCGCCCATGCCTCGTCCACTCGGTAATTCATCCATAGTTGTTTCGAAAAATTGAAGAAACGAGTATGTCACCCAGTAGACGAAAGAATTTCCGTGAGGTTCTTTGGAGCCGCGCTCTTTGAAACCACTCTTTCTAACATCAATCAATGCCAAAAACCGAGAATTTACTATGCATTTGCCAAAAGCCGAACGAATACGACAGCCGTCTTCCAAATCATGCTGCAGACCAATGGGACTTTTCAACGCCAATGGGGAAATGTAGCCAGCGCCATCATTCTTTCTGGATCCGGCCAACTTTGCCTGGTATGGGCAAATGACATGGAATCCTCTGTCAAATCGTACGTATACTCGGCTTTAGGGATATAGAGTCAAATAATTTAAGCAATGCCTAGCTTAACTTAGTTGGTATTAAACCTAAAATTGCTGCAGGGGCAGTACGAAACTAACCAAATTTCAGGCGAAGGCTTATAACTCCTTTTCCGAGTTAGTACACCTATAGGTATTATCTCTACGCACAAATGAAGAGACTTGATTTTTCGTACCTCTTCATTGGCAGGTAGTCGATTATGTAACTAAGTAGTCGACATTAGCGGACCCATTCTAGTTCAGGTTTGGACATAATTCGGAGCCGAATAACTAGTTAGTTAGAATTCTAGTAGAATTTCGGGGGTGGTATGAAGAAGCACATATCTAGCCAACTATATCAAGCTCAACCTCCCACACACCATTTATTACAAGATTACCTGGACCCTAACGGGATTTAATGTTTCTCTTTCTTTTCCTGTCTTCTTTCCTCTTCTCCTATGGCAATTCGCTAGACTTCAAGGCATGTGTCCAAAGAAATACTGCAGTTCGTCACGAAAGAAACATGTCAGCCCTGCCAGTTCCGTCATAGTGTAGGCTTGCAATCACCTCTTCCCACGCAGCCCATGACTGATCAGCCTCGACCAATTGTTCTTGTCCGGCAATCAGCAGCGGACTGTCGAGTGATAACAACAAAGGATCTACCTTCTGTGGTGATGTCGAAACCGGAGCCTCAGTCACCAAGGCCAGCTCTTCCCCAGGGCGTGAAAGTTCCGCTGTCGTCCAAGACCAGTTACTTAAAAGATCCCCGTTTGATATGATACTAGACCGGGAAGGAGGCGTGTGCGGCACCGACAATGCGTTTGCCGCGTCTGTAGTACCAAACGTCGGACTCGTTGTTATGCTGGTACTGGTACCTAAAGACGGCAACAGCTTTCCCCTTACACGGCACATCAGTCTCTCAAGTGTGATGCTGATTGCTTTGCTAGACCCTGACACAGCAGCCTCATGTTGCTGAAAAGCAGCTTCCACAATGGGCCAGGCGCGCTGTACCAAGGATCTATCCTGACAGATGTAACACTCTGATATGGCAATGGCGAGCGGCTGCCATGGGACCGTAACAAACCAGCGGAACCGCTCTCCACGGGGATCAGTGTGCACGAGCTGGACTTTCTCAAGGATATTTAACGCCAAGGAAAGAATACTTGTACCTTCGTTGGCGTCTAATATTGGTATTGGATGATCGCGATGTTGGTGCAAGAGAGGGCGGATGGCAGAAAGTCTTGCCCCTGAGACAAAGCATTGAATGCGATGCCATGTGAACCAGGCATATGGTGTGGATTCGGGATCGCAATAGAGCAAAAGACGAAGCGTCCTCTGCTCGAAATGCTGGACGTGCTGTTGTCGGCTTCCGTCATCTTTAACACATGGTTCAAAATTGAGTAGCCGGCCCGCAGCCTGTACGTGGTAGGAAACCAGAGAAAATGTGGTATCTGTCAGTCCTTCCCGGTCAGGGATGTCGTGCGAAGTTGTCGGATCAAAATCAGAATCATTAATGTGCCTGGGTGGAGAGAATGATGATGTTGCCTCTACCACAGTGATTAGAGGCTCAGAAGGTTGGCTTAAAGAGGTCTGAAAATCCAGCAAGCAGATGGCTAGCCAAAGTCGCTTCCGCATCTGTTGATCAAAAAAATTGTCGTCTGTGACTCTAGGGAGGTCGAGCGCTTTGGCGATTCTCACCGCAAATGCCATTAATGTCCAAACAGCACGACTTGGATCCTCTGACCTCCTAGCAACCTGGTTTGTTTTTAATGGGAATTAGAACATTTTGTTCCGTGAAAAGCTCGTGCTGATATCTCTGTGTTAGAAAAACTCACAAGGTATAATACAAACGCTTGAAGGGTAGTGACATCAGGAGAAAGTAGCGGGCTACTCTTCTCTAGTGTCGTCTCACATGCTCTTCTTGCGCGGGCAACAATGCTGGACTTGGTGGTATGGAAACGAGCCCAGCTCTGTGTCTCTGTTAAACTGGTAGCTGCAACGTAGCAGATGGCTGCACCCAGAGACTCGACCGCAGCATGGCCTTCAGGCAATCCTAGATATCGTTGTCCCTGCAACATCCACTTTTCAAGAGACGGCCGATGTAGAATTTTGATGACCGGATCTACATTTAAGAGATATACCTGGCACAATTGCATCGATATCTCTCTGTCCTCAATAATAGAGGCCCATCCAGTCTCAGGGCTGGATGATCCACTTAATCCCAGGATTCTCAAGCCACCATCACTCGGGTGAACTCTTGGGCCTTTGATCAGCAGGCTATCCTCGTCAATTCCGTTCAGAGTTGATTCAATGGTATCTTGAGCTTCCTGATCCTTGTTTGTTTGAAAATTCTTGATTAGCTACTCTTCTAATTTTCTTGACTAGTTGTGATGCTGTTACCCCTGACTCACCTGCTTCGAGATATGGTTGGAAGAACGCATACTGTCCACCAAGGCCTCTAGTCTGCGAATGCGCTCCTTGAGGTCGTCATCAGCTATAGTGCCAGCATCGGCAGGAGGAGCAATATCAATTTGTATCGGTGCCTCAGGGTCTTCGGGCGAAATCCTCCGCAATCGCTGAGCATGGGCACCTCGAGGCAAACGTGGCCGCCGTACGGGAACACAAATCACACCCGCCGATGAACAGTTCGTGCATGGATCAAGTTTGTCACACTTGACCTTACGCTCGCGGCACAGTTCACAGCTGAGATGAGCAGCTTCCTGCCGTCGTTTTGGGCCTCGTTTCTCCATGTCTCCTCTAGGCGAAATAAACCAGCTTGTTCGTAGCTTCGGGCCTTTACCATCGGAAGGCCAGGGCTATATAAACACAGGAGCCTAGGACGCGGCTGGTACCATCCCGATAATTGAGCACGCGGGCTGCTGAGCATCAGCCGAGGCGAAGGTTACTCCGTGTCGAGCCCATTTTCTGGTCTCGCCTTCATCAACACGAAGAACACGAGAAAGCCTTAAGAGACAACTTTATATCTGTCGGAATATATTTATATATCTAAGTATAGATATATAACTATAACAATAGACATATATCCAACGTTTGGTACGTGGGCCTCCACCAGATACTTGCTAAGTGGAGTATAAAACCGGCCTGGTTGGCCGACCTCTAAGTAGTAATACCTCGTTTCTCTGGGTATTTGCTTCAGCTCCCACTCTCACTCCAGGTCAGGTTCTAGCGAAAGGGCTCCCAGTGAGCCAGAAACACCAGTCTGACACTGGCGGCGTTTTTTTTTTTTTTTTTTTTTTTTTTTTTTGGTAACATGGATCAACCTCATTTGCTGGTTCAACCGTCAGCAGGGCTCCCACTCTTGATTCCAATACGAGATGATTTCCATTCATGCTAGCGGTGGCCCTTTCTGCCTACCAATGCTAGTTAGTCGTCCAGTCTCAAGACGTGCTACAAGCCTTAGTGGCGAAGTCTTAGCACCATCCAATGCCCGTTATGCATTTGCTGGCATGATCTTGATTTCCACTTCCGTGTGCAGATCCAGATCATTCGGGGCAATTCTCTACCCTCAAATGTTTGATTCGGTCCATTTCCTCAGACAGAGCCCCGGGCTTCCTGGGATGCAACCTGCTCGCTTGATGTCCTAGGATAACCCTGCAGGCTCCTGATTCACATCGTTCAGGTGGGTTCCCAAGCGCTGACCATCCATCATCAGGCTCAAGAGTGTCCTTTCCAGTAACGCGAAAAGCTTAACAGCAATACCACCAAGTGCCGCAGAATGGGTCGAATACGAGCTAGCATATATGACAGGATGATAGCTGAATAAATTAATGTTTCTTGTGAATAAAGGGGGGAACGGAGCAAAAAGAGCCATTGACTGGATGAAGATTGAGGGAACAGGCAGTTGTGGAGGGCATGAAGTTCACGCTCAAATGGCGGTAGGTCTGAGTGTTGACGTCTCTGATTCGAACCCTCAAGGGCTGATATATACGACAGTGTACTAGTGCGGGAAGTACGGGGCATAATGAGAATTAATTAGCCCGCAGTTAGTTAACCAGTGGCTGAAGTGCTCTAATTATAGGCAGAACTCCGCCAGTCCACCTATTCCCAAGTCCAGCAGCTTCCCCTTCACGTTCACCCATGGCATCGCTCCCCCCAGTGGTTAGAGTATCGTCCACAGAGGACTCTCATTCCTGTCAAAGCCAGGGGCCTTCTTTTTGTCTCTTGAGCGTTCAAAAGTCCAGACGACTTTGAAGTACTAGAAGTGACATTAGTAAGCATGATCACATGACTGATTTTGCACCTATCATCACGTGATTGATCCGACTCGCGACGTTTGCGGCGAAAATAATATCAAAAACGACTTGATATATTTCGGAACCGTCCACCAGGGGAGGATTGTTGATTTTGAAGAAATATCCACAGCTGCCCTTGGGACAAGCAAGCTTCCCAACAGCTTTCATTTTGTGTTTATTTCTTCGTTGTTGTTATTGCTGTTGCTTTTCTTTACTGCTTCTTATGGACCATTTATTTTGTATATATTTCCCCTTTTTAACATACTAAACGCAGCAAGCCATGACATATTTGCACAGTGACTATTCCAACCGCAGCCCTTTTGCCGAACCCACTATTTTTGAAAAGGTATCTCAGCGGCTACCTGCAATCTTCCGGTGGGGGGCCGATCGAATTCGAACTCGCGTTGCTTTCTTCGGAAACATACCTTCCCTCGTTACAAGACGCAACAGCCGGCCAGGTGTTGTTAAGGCAGTTTTTCAAGCACTCTTTACTGTTCGCACCGCGTTGATTCTTTTATGGGGCCTTACACTGTGGTGGGGAGAAAGGACTGTATTCAAGGAGAGCCTGAAGGCTTGCAATTGGAGTCATTGGGAAAAATGGGTGAGTGGTCGTTTTGCGACCAACAATGTTCGTGTTTATACTAGTTATACTGACACATGCTTCATATACATAGCCTGCCAACGCCAAACCTCATCACATTGCCTTTATAGCCGATCCACAGCTTGTTGATGCACATACCTATCCTGGTCGGCCGTGGCCTTTATCCTCATTAACCGAGTTTTACGTGGACCTGTACCTGTACCGTACTCATTCACTGCTTCAGAAGTATTTACGGCCTGATAGTACCTTTTTCCTCGGTGATCTCTTTGATGGAGGAAGGGAATGGGGCACGGACGGATATTCTAGCCCGGATCCTAGCTTCAAGAACTACGGGCACGACTATTGGATGAA